ATGGTGTCAGCCTGGTGTGCACAAGCAGAGTCCTCCAGAGTGACCTGTACCATTTATTCTGACCAGGGCCTGCGCTCACTGTTCCCTCGAGCTGGCCCGGGCCTTGGGCACCCAGGTGCATCCCAGGGACATGCCATGCAGGCTGTTGCTGTTTGTCCCTTAGGATGACAGACACACAGTCCACTGACACAGCTGCCCCAGGGTTGGTGGAGCCCGAGTGGCCGAGGGACTGAGTCCTCAAAGGGTTGGCCTCAAGACCAATCCAAGATGATCACCCCACAGATGCGATCCTCAGCCCGTGGGTGCAGGGGGCTTGTGAGAGCTAAGGATCCAGTCAAAAGTACATTTTAGATGACGTGGGAAGCCCACAAGGAGGCTTGATGGGATGGTGCCTAAATTGTCAAAGTTTGTTTTGATAAACTGGGAAAAAACACGACTTTGTACATGGCAACTCCATTATCCATGGGGTCATGGGGGACCCATGACTTTCTCTAACTGGAAAGAGGCAGTGGCTCCCTGCATCCAGCCCCACGGTGGCTGCACCCTGTCCCTGCTGCGCCCTATGACAGGGGCAGACCCGCTGCTCTGCAAGAGCGAAACACAGGCTCCAGAGGCCTCGGCTGGAGGCGGGGAGACGTCCCATGAATGCAGAAGGTCTGCAGAAGAGCCTGGGGGACCTGAGCATCCCCAGGAACTGCGGAGCCCAGCACCCTGCCCTCTTCCAGAGGCAGTCGGTAAGACTGAGCTCTAGGAGGTACTGATTCCCTTTCTACACCAGGAACTGGGAAGACTCAGTCACCAGCACCCCACAAAGGTCTCGAAGCGTGAGCTGAGTGGAAGGTACGTGGTGTCACATGGGAGAGTACAGCCACCAAGCAGAACTGGGAACCTGCTTCATCGAGGACGTCAGCGTGACCCTGAGGGTGGAAAAGCTCTTCTGCCCAGACGGGCGCCTTCAGCTGGCCCCGGGTTGGAGTGGACGAGGGTCACTGCCTTCACAGGAACATCCTCCGCAATGCAGACTGGAGGGAAGTGTGATGAAGTTCATTTCAAAGACCCAGCCCTGTGTATTTCCCAAGGCGGTGCTTAATTTTTTTCCTCTCTCAAGTCTTCTTGTTGCTTTTCTAATCCAATCTGGATGACCCTAGGACATTTTTTTTTTATTTTTATTCGTAGTTCTAAGAGGACAGTGTGAAGATTTTGGATTTCATTTCAATTTGAGTAAACCTGAATGGTGGATTTGCTGGTAATGTCAAGCAATCCTTGAAGGTATATAAGCACATGCAAGCACCTTCTCAAAAGCCGTCTTCACAACCTGCCTTTCTGCGTAACTGGCATAAGCTTCAGCTAATACCTGGGCTCAGTGTTTCCGTTTGTTATACACCATGAGCTAAGGAGCACTTACCTCTTCACTCACATGCTCTGTTACCACTGTCTCCACGTCTGCCCTGCGTCCCTCTGCTGTCCCGGTCTCCTCCTAGACTGTTGTGTGGGTTTACGTCATCGTCATCTTTCAGCCTCCACCATGCTGGGAGAAGAGTGGAATGACAGCAGGCTCCTCCAGGTCACCTTGACACAGCCTTACCTGCACTCCTCCTGTCACAGAACCTACTCAGAAACTCCAGCACTGTCCTTCTCTTGATCTCCACAGACATTGTTTCCATGTGAAGTTCCTCTTCTCAGAACACGAATGCTGATGCAAACAGTGAGGTGATAAGAAGAATGAGGGGTCAGCCCCCTGCCCTGTAGCTCAGAGAGGATCGCCCTGACCTCACTGCCAGCCTTACAGTGAATGGGACGTCGACTCCAGTGGGAGAATACTGAAAGTGCTGAGACACTCCTTTAGCTCTGTGGAATGCAGTGCTGAGCCTGCAGAGACTGGGTTCCCCACACAGCCCTGAAGATATGCGACGCAGAGGCTGCACCTCGGCAGTGGTCTTGTCCTGGGACACCTGGGGACCCTCGTGACATGGAGCTTCCCCGGAGCGTCCTACAGTGACAGGTCGTGAAACAGTGACAGGCCTTTCTCCTCTGGAAATCCAAAGGACACCTAGCGCACACCTCCAGCGCCAAAGTGGGCTCAGCACAGGGAAGCCAGGCAGAGGGGCAGAGGGGGACACGGGGTAGACGCAGAGGTGGCCGTTCATGACCACAGCAGTTCATAGTGTATGGGGGATTCTGACTGTCTGTGTGGTCCCCAAAGGTTCCCATTGTTTCAGGCGCCTCATGAAATCAACCCCTTTTGGACGAACAAACCTTCAACACAAACACAGGATTATCCAGGTCATGTTCCTAGGAGCAGCAGTGCCAATTCTAAAAGTGCCAACCACTTTAGTGAGCATGAGGGTTGAGGTTACAGAATGAGATGGTAAGAAGGTCAGCGAGAATGACCACCCAGGAGAAGCCTGGGCCCATGGATAGCCAAACAGAGTCGAAAGTAATCCCAACGGCCATGTCCCTATTAGAGGTAAGGAAGAAAGGTGTTTAGGAGGAGGGAAAATCCAGCCAGGTGAAAGTCTAGGGTGAGCGACAGGAAGACACAGTAAGTTAAGTGGGTAAATGTACACAGAAACATAAATGATGATGATGATGATGATCATGCTGCTTTTAATCCACAGCATTTATACACCCAAGCAGACAATGGCCAGATCTAAGGTTTCAAAGAAGAGCTAAAGTACTTGACAGCATGTCAGTAAGGGGGGAGTGATAAAAACCGAAGGGTCCTAGGATTTGGGATGGGAAAGCAGGGATAGTGTAACTCAGCACACGTTGAAATTTCTAAGGAAATGTTAAAATGAAGACAAACTGATCAGCACAAAACAGGCAAAAAGGTAGGAAAGAAGGGGGTGAAGGGAGATGGACGGAGCTGGTGGTGAGAATGAGGCTAACTGCCCTCCCAGGACAAGGGTCCAGGCCAGGCCCAACAGGGACCCAACGCCAGGCTCCTGGGAAGTGAGAATCCGGAGGCAGGAGCAGAGGTCACGTGGCACAAGGGCACACAAGGGCACATGGTGAGGTCTCCACAGCAGCAGTCCATGGAAGGCCAAAGAAATCGGCCCAAGGCCACCAAGAGGGGGGACCTGAGGTGCACTCTCACAGTGGGCACTGCCCAGCAATGACCACAGATGAACCAGAGCACGGCACCTCTGCGGGGGCTCCCAGAAACACCCCAGCAAGAAGGAGAGGACGCCCCAGCGGAACGTGGACGGCTCCCCAGGGCAGACGCAGAGGTACGCCCACAAAGCTGCACACATTGACGGCAGCTCTCTGGAAAAGCCAGCGGCTGGCAACCTGGATCTCAGGGTGGTGGCTGCCTGGAGGGGGAGGTGAGCTGGGGAGGGGTACGTGGGTCACACTGGTGTGAGGACGGTGTTCCAGCTCTGCAGTGGGTGACCCGAGTTCACTTTCCTTCTTGCTGTGTTGTAGGCACACGTATGCAGACATGTGAAATTTCAGTACCAACCAATTAGAGGAAAAGATGGAGTCCTTAAGACAGCCTCTGCCCTCAATTAGTTGGAGAGGAGGAGGGGCCCAGTTAGCACACTCTGCACTTCCTCTCCTTGGCTGAGCTAATCACCTAGATATTAGTCTCTCCTTTACTGAGTGCTTAGCCAAAGATCAGTGAGCCTAAGTGATCATTAAGTGCTAATTAAGACCTAATGAGGGGTGCTGGGATTTGAAGCAGCTCTGACCAACCAGAGATCCTTGAAGCCCTTAGCGTGACACTTGCTGTTGGGTCTTTGATCCTTTATCTGCATGGTCCCTACTTTTCTGTCTCACATTTGGCTAGACATTTCTCAAGAGTAAAGAGCAGGTCTTCTTTATCTTTATATCTAAGTGGATTTTATTTGTACGTGTATGTGAATGTAAAGGTAAGTATATAAGATAAATATATACATGTGCATGTGTATGTGTATGTGTGTGTGCATATGTATGTAAAATTTCCAGAATTTACAAAACTGAGAGCAAAGCCTTCTCATGGCTTTAAATCACCAGGTGTGTGGAGAGATGGGTGGGTACACACGTGGGGTTGGTGTGCCTGGAAGACAAGGAAGACTGTCCCTCGTAGTCTCTTGAGCACTGCAGGGCCAGCAAGACCTGTTCTGGTAGAATAGGCAAACTTGGAAAGGTGTGCATGGCTGGACCTTCAGGTGTGCCCTCCTAATCCAGCTCGGCATTACCACATGGCATCCAGAGACTGGAGTGGAGAGGGCCCTGCACTGGCCTTGGGCTTGTGCTGGGGTCTGACCTGGGCTGGCTGCGTCCTGGGTTTGAACTCTCCCTGTGGGGGATTTCAGAAGCAGGGATTGGGGGTAGTGAAAGGGTCGCAGCGACATCAGAGCCTCGGGTCACCAGGCTCCAGAGGTCCCATAGACTCTCTGCCAGACTATTTTGTGACACCGGCTTCTGCACAAAGGACTTGAAATTCTAATGCTTTTTTTTTTGGGGGGGGGGGGGACACCAAAGGGATGGATATCATTTTCATATCTTTCATTAGGATTGGGGTGGCCAAGTTGGAACTCTTCAGAGTGAAAGGGGTTATCAATAACAACCTCCCAAGCATCTGTAGGACCCACGGCATTCTGGGTAATACTGACCAGTCATCCCCTCCGACCCCCTCCCATCCCAGAGTCAGCAGAGGGTTCCCATTGAGTTGAGGGTTGTCGGTCACCTTGAAGGCTTAGACTCTAAGAAAATTCTCCCTATTTTATTTTACTTGAGGTTCCTTGGGATTGGTGATCTTTATTTGAATCATGCTTTTTATTACAATATTTTGAAAGAGCAAATCAGGCAGGAATATATGTGTGTGTTCTCAGTAAAATGCGACACCTTGACGCATTCCCTAATGGCTGCACTTTCAGTACGATTTTGCTAGGATTCGTTCAAGGCGACACCATCACCAGGCTGACTGTGCACGGAGCGTGCTCCACTCACAAGGCCGTGCCTGCAGGGAGCTGCCGAGCCTTGGCTCTTCACCTGGTTTTGTCTGTTCTTTGCAGCATCCGTGGCATCCACCTGCAATGACCCAGGGATGCCACAGAATGGGACCCGGTACGGGGACAGCCGGGAGCCTGGAGACACCATCACATACCAGTGTGACCCTGGGTATCAGCTTCAAGGACAAGATAAAATCACCTGTGTGCAGCTCAACAACCGCTTCTTCTGGCAACCAGACCCTCCTACATGCATAGGTATCGGGCAGCAGAAAATAAGAAATTCATGTTTGGAAATGCATGCATGCTGACATCAGCATTGCTCTAACCATGGAGTATGTCTTCAGAAAGACTTTTCAAGAGTTTCTTAAATATCCTTGGGCTCTCTGAGGCCATGCTGAAATTTTATTGTGAGCCTTTATTTTACTATGTAAAATAAAGGAAATGATTTACTCAATATATAGTAATTGACTTTATCTAACATTTCATGTCCATAATAATTCTTGTTTAAATATATGTCCAATCAAACCACTGTAATTTAAAATTCCTGTTGCTTCAAAATTTGTAACCTGCCCTCACTGTTTCCTTTCCTAATGGAGACACATGCCCTTAAGCAAAACCTACTCACTAAGAAGGGCTTTCTCTTTTTAGATGTTTTTTTTAGAATGTCAGTACATTTTCAATAGAATACTGAAAACTAGAAATTATACTGCTTTTGTGAAAATGAAAAAGAAACTTATTTTTAATATCCATTAAAATTGTATTGTTTCACCTTACTAAAAGAATAACAAATGGTTCTGTAGACTATGACCTTCCTAGATCTCTATCAAAAATGCCATTTTAGGGAAATATATGTTCTTATATAAAATACAATTGCACATACATAGACTGTCTATTCATTCGATGAAATATTTTAACATGAAATACTATTTAGAGCATTTTATCTTAATTTCTAAAAAGAAACTCGAGTAGTCTTTCTTATCTTAATGAACTGTCACTGTTTAGTTGATGCTTCATTATAATCTGCTTGAAAATGTGAAACGGAACTGACCCGTGAGGGAGGCAGTGAGGGGGAAGCCGTGTGCTTACCACTGGAGGCCACTCTGCTCGAGTGCTCTCGAGGGAATGCACAGCAGCCCAGCCCCTCTGTCCCCGTGGAGCTGGGCACAGTGCTGGCCATGGTGCTCTGTGGGCCCAGGAGACGTGAGAGCCTCTGCTTAGACCCTCAGCCCCTGGCTTGTGCCCAGGGACATCCTCTGACTCCTGGGAGCCCAGCCCTGTTCCAGCTCAGGCGGAGGCTCAGGAGCCTTGCAAGATCCTTTGGTTTTTTTCAAGTGGAGTAAATACCCATCAATGAAACCATCCTTTAAAAGTCTTTGACCTATTTTTAAATTAGGAAAGGAATTTTTCCTTCCGATTACGGGTTTTTAAGCTCAAGGAAGAAAATATTAAAAAGCAATACCTCTATGAATTAATCTCTTAAAGGAAATGTATCATTTCACATTGACTTAAAAATGAAATCGTGAAGTTTGACTATCTTCCCAACTATAATTTTTCTCTTGATTCATGTCTTCATTACCTAATTTTGAGCAGCAACTAAATAGTGTATACCTCAGCCAAAAGCTCACACCATACTTCCTGTCTTGACCATCCATTGCAAGGGGGGCGGAAACCACCTGCAGGCAATTGACCGCTCTCCTGTGATGTCAGTAGCTGGATCTGCAGACACACACCTAGATAGCATGTAGCAGAGAGCTAACAGACATGGTGAATCGATTTCACAATTTCCTTATGTACCTAGTGACCCACTTAAAGTGCTTTTAGATGACAGAGTCGTGCATGGCTCTTCTGAAGTTGAAGGTTTTGCTTTCAGCATGAGACTCTTGTGCATTTTCACTAGTCTGGGGCAGAGGCATGGCCTCTCCTGGCAGCCTGCACCCTGTGAACCAATTTGTTTTGATCAGATTGAGTTTGCAACAAAACATACTGGATTTAGTTGGGTTTCTTCTCTTGAAACACTGTCTTCAGGAATATTAAGTAATTGAAGACCCACAAAGTCTTCTTTTCTTTCTTTCTTTCTTTCTGAAAACAATCACCAGAGGGCATTTTCTTTTCTAGTTAATTTTTTTTCCTAAACTTATGTATGTTCAAGGGTATTAAAAAGCCCCCCCGGTGGTTCCGGGATGCTGTGGTCTAGCTGGAGTGGTGTCCTAGAACAACTTGGTGGGAAGTCACTGGGTTTGACAGGAAAGCCCCTAACCCACATGCTCACGGAGGTGTCCACACTGTGTGCTAGCAAACAAACTGAGGTGTTTTAACATCGTCATGTAACAGCAGGCTTAACAGAAGTGTCTTCTAGTGCATGAAATGATCCTAAACATTTCGGATTCAACAACAAAAAGTGGCCTTCCTTCTAACCACAGTGAGTTTATGTCATGAGTGCTTTACTAACATGAAGGTGAACACGTCCACCTCACAACTGAAGACTGAAAAAGGAGCTCACTCTATCATTATCCACGAAGTGTTCCTTTTAATAGTGATATTCTAAGCACTATGATGAAATATTTTTAGGAGTCAGTGTTCTGCTCCTGTTCATTATATGTCCTAGGTGACATTGTGGGTATGTGTCCCTAAGGGTCGTGCACGTAAATGTTGGTGACATGGGGATCAAGTAGTTGGTCCAATCCAAAATTATAGGAAGAAACTTGTAATTGCCAGAAGTTCTGAAATTCTCCCTAAATATGAGGTGGGGCATTACGTAGAATTTATTAACATGAAAAACATACCTCTGGCTCTGAAATGTCGGGGATGGGTGGGAATGAGCCTGTGAGGCTTTGTCAGAGGGCCTGAGCGGTCCCCTGCACTCTGCCAGCTCTCTTCTGACCCTAACTCGCTCTCTGTGACTTCTGCTCTGCCAGCGGCATGTGGCGGCAACCTGACGGGCCCTGCAGGAGTCATCCTGTCCCCTAACTACCCTCAGCCGTACCCTCCCGGGAAGGAGTGTGACTGGCGAGTGAAGGTGAACCCGGACTTCGTCATCGCCTTGATATTCAAAAGGTACGGCTCAGCAGAGCGCCTCTGCTCAGTGGGCTTTCAAACACCACGCCCGAGTTACCTCCCTGACCCTTCAGAGTGTCCACCTCTGCACCTGGGCTGCCTTGGTTTTGTCCGCACGTGCAGGGTGACGGGCTGCAAAGGCTGGCTCTGCTGGGTGGCACTCCGTGGGCCAGGCGCGCCTCTAACTGCGGCTCACCGGCTGCGTGACCATTCCACCCTGAGGCCTGCACTCACAGGACATTCAGAAAGGATCGACTACGGCAGGTGCTCTGGGATAATCCTAGCCAGAGCCTCCCACTTCTCCAGTGTACACTTTCTGTGGCTGATGATCCCAAAGGCAGCACACTGCTGTCACGCAGAGGGTTAGGAGTCGATGAGCTTTGAAAAGGGAAGCTCCCCAAACTTGGTTGCTGGGGGTTTGAATTGTTAGGTATTGGTCTGAAAAATAGGTCCTTCCTGCTGTACTAGATGATAAAAGTTCAAGCACTATTAATATTTTATAGGTTCCACAATATGCTATCTCATATGCACAGTACTCCACGGTGGTTCAGTTTTATTGACTCCCAAGGTCTCCTCCAGTGTTCCACTTTGGTCTTTGAATTGGATGAATGTGATGCTTTTCTAGGTAACCGCTGCAGTGGACTGTCCCGCTGGCCGCTCAGAGGTCCAGGGCCCAGCGGTCTAATCCTCTGTCTCCATCTGCCTGGGAGCAAGCTTTCTTTTTAGGCTCTGTGCATCAACATTCAGGCCTCGCTGTGCTTTCCCTCCTCCACTTTCTCCTGATGAGGTCCGAGTCAGTGTGATGTGAAGGATCTGTGATTCTGAATCTCAAGCAGTTGATAAGCCATCATTTCAGGAATTTTCTAAAACTACTACAAATTTTCCAGATGAAGAAGACTTTTATGACACTCAACTAAACACACAGATCCAGTGACCGTTTGCTGGCCATGTCATTGGGTATATGTTTTTTAAAATGCTGAATCCTATTATGCCCTCACGGAAACCAGGTCCAGTGCCAGGAGATTAAGAGTACAGTAGAATCCAAGGCCAGCTGGGAGAGAGGGAGCCTCGTTCAGGAATCTGCCGTCTTCCATGGCTGACCGATTGACCAAGTTCCCAAAGTGCACCTCATGGGAGGACTCATGAGGCAGTTGTATCAGCCAAGTTTTTCAGTGTTGCAGAGGTCTCTGTAGCAAGTCTTCTGCAGAAGGCCCCGGCATCTCTTCCAACTCTTCCTAGAGATCGTTACCTGATCCTGCAACTTTTCCCATCTGAACGTTTGTGTGGGCTGGGGTGGACCCTAATGGCTGTACCTGTGGGGTAGGGAGGTGAAAGCCAGATCCTGGGTAGGATCAGAGATGTTTAAGGGCCCAACAGAAGGCTGCCCCAGGCTTGCTCAGACTTGAAAGTACTCACAGGCCTTATAGGTATGTTCAACTGTCACAGGTAGAAATAAGATCTTCAAGGAAACTGTAATCAATTGAATTTTCAACTCTAGACTTCTCTGCATGAACTACACCTTGTCTAAAATGAGATACCAGATGAAATTTGCTTCCTGAGTTGTGTGTCTGATTGTATTTTCAGTGCACAACAAATAATCTAAAATAATAATTGGCTTTGCCAAACATTGGGGATGGAACATGGCCAGATTATAATAACATCCTTGCAAAATACTCTGAAAAAAATCATTATCCCAATAAAATTCTCCTTGGTCTATACAATTCCCACGAGCCTCCTAAATTTAGCAACTCTGATGGTTCACTCCTTCATTTCTGACTTCACTGAATTTGCAGATAAACAGACAAAGAAAGCAGGTACAGCTTGCTGCAGACACTGTGTTCAGGGCCTCCCACTGGCAGGAGTGAAGTGCAGCCCAGACCTGCAGGGGTGGTGAGATGCAGGGCAGAGCAGAGCCCTGCTGTTCCCAGACCTCTATGCTTCAGGAAGAAGCCCATGCCGTGGGAGGGACTTCCTGTCCTGGCTCTTTCCTTGACTCTGCAGACAAAAGGAGCCCTGTGATGTGACCACAGAGAAACCCTGGCGTCTCTGTCTCACATACCAGAAATTCCTGTGACAGGATAGTGGTTGGATTAAGTCCTGGATGTGAGAGGAGAGGAGAAGGGCCGGCTGGCCTGCGTGATGACCCACCCCCAGTGGCTCCTCCTGATTGGCTGATTGAGTCCAACCAGCTCGTAACACCTGGCCAGCCTCAGACTCCCATTGGAGAGTGCCCAAGGCCCAGGCTCACCCCACAGCAGCCTGCCCCGGACGCTTCAGTGGAAGCCCACTCCCTACGTCAGTCTGTGGGGACAGGCTGTATGTCGGCTTTGGAGAAGGGGAGAGTCAAAACCAAGAGCAGGGTCTGGGAGGCAGGAAGGGAGGGAGAGCCAGAGCTGGACTAGTCGGGCGTTGACACTCGATACCTGAATGTTCACACTCTTCCCTGGTGCGACTGTCAAGATTGGCCCATTTGTCTAAGGAAAGAGAGACGATTACATTTTTTAAAATTAAACAAAAAGCAGTTTTAAAACTATAAAAGTATATAGTAATGCCAAAGATATATCACATAAAAACCAAATATTAGTAGGAATTCACTCCTCTGAGGCTACTTCTTTCAAATCACATCTCATGAGCCAATTCAGGACATGGGCAAGGGTGTCACACCAAGGTTACTATGATGCGTTTCTCTTAGCCATCTTCAAAATTGTGCAAAGTACAAAGAGTATTCACTGCCATTGGAAATGCCATTTTACATTTTTGCTCATTATTACATGTTACTTTTTGATTTTCCTAATTATTAAAATTATTATACAAAAGCAAACAAAGTTGACTGGTCGTCTCCTGAAAGACAGGGTGTCCTTGTCTGGGGACCAAGTGTAACCGGGTTCTGTCCTTTCAGTTTCAACATGGAGCCCAGCTACGACTTCCTGCATGTCTACGAAGGTGAGGACTCCAACAGTCCTCTCATTGGAAGCTTCCAGGGCTCTCAAGCCCCGGACAGGATCGAGAGCAGTGGGAACAGCCTTTTCCTGGCATTTCGGAGCGATGCTTCTGTGGGCTTGTCCGGGTTTGCCATTGAATTCAAAGGTATGAGGTGGGCTGAACTGGCGGGGCGCTGGCCTGTGTCTGACTTGGTTTAGTTGTGCACTTTCCTCAGGACGTCTTCATATCTGTCTAGCCTGAGCTGTCAACGTGTCCCTCCTCTGTCCTCTCTCTAGTGGAGACAAAATTCCAGAGACACATTTCTGCCTGGGCTGAGAGAAACCAAGATGGGAAAATATTTTCCAAGTTCACAGCTGTTTAAAAATAAATGATGGTTTACATCTTCAGTAATCTGATGATTTTATCAGCAGATATCTTCTGATGTGTTTCTTGAGGATGACTCGATTTTACTACGCCATGCTACCCCAGTTTCAACTCAGCTTCTTTCACTGTGACCAGCTGCTACCTGCCCTGGTCTTGCCTGGGGCTTCTGGTTTTGTGAGGAGCCCTGGCCCTGGGCAGGGTACCGTGCTCTGGCTGTGGGGTCAGGGGCCCACTTTCGGTCCACCATGCCCTGTCATTGACATCCACCTGCACTGAGCATTTTACCTTTGAACACATGAAAAGAACATTATTTTTTCCAATCTATTTCTCATGTAAACAAAGAAAATGTGAGGTATGACACAAAGAATTAGAGAAGACAATTTGCTAAAATATTAGTTTATCACACTGCTTTATCAAAAGTTTAATAGAAATATTTATTAAAACTTCTTGAATTCCATTCATAGGTGGAATTATAAAGGAAAACAGGATACATTTCAATTCTGTTACTTCTTTAATGGGTTTATTTTTTTTTTCATGATTTTAAATAGAAAATCAATCTATTTTCCCAAAAACATAAAAATATTATAAGTCTTCATTAAAATGTACAATAAAAAATTACAGGATTCAGCATCAGAGGAGGGCCTGTGCCTTTCAAATAGAAATTGTCACTTTTATGAACTACTGTGACACCACTCATTCACCACACCGTCAGAAAGTTCTCGTGTTAACAGGAATTCTCTAAAACGCACCTCACCAGGTGTGTCTGTTCTACCGTAGCCCCAAACAAAGCAAAACCAAGGAGCAAGACAAACCTGCATCCGAATGCAGAACGCATGTTGCTCCCTGCCTGCTCAGACGCCTGCTCTTCTCCCGGGCATTCCTAGGGAAGTCCGTCGAGGGCTGAATGGGCAAATGGCCCATGAGTAACATACACGCAACCTTCTGAGGGGTTCTCGGGTAAGCAGCTCAGCCACCTGAGAGAGGGCTGTAGCTCTTAGTGTTTAAAAAGTTCTTGTATAGAGTCCAAGAAAAAAAAAATCCTGGGAAAGCAATGCCAGTGCTACCTCAGCAGCCAAGAGCGTTACTGCCATCGGAAGGCAGGCGGGACCCAGGGAACAGGGCAGCGGCACTCAGGGTCCCTAGAGGGACCTGGCATACTCCATCCACTTGGCCCCCAGAACAGGAAGATGCACAAGTGTTCCTAAGCAGAGCAGACAAGGACAGCAGCAGGACACTCATGTTATGAAGTCATCCAATTAGGAAACGTGGCATGTGGTAAGCAGAGAGGGCCAGTGATTTATCACCGAGCGTCTTGAACTGACAGCTAGGTAAAAGGAACCAAAAGATGAGATGCCACTCATTTGAAAAAAGGCCACCATCAGATCTCGAAATCACAGGCACAAAGTGGCAAGCTGTGTAAGTGAAGCTTCACCAAACAGCCAGCCAAGCTACAAGAGATTTACAGCAAAATATGATCAAATGGATGAAAAGGCTGTGGATACATACTGATGGACAGGCACTGAACAGTTTTCACTCTTTTAAAGGAGAAAAAATGTAACCAAGATTAATACTTGTAATCACTAGATGCTCAGCACCTTTTGTTGGGTAACCCATCAAACAACAGGGACGGGAATGGCTTTTACCTGCGTAGAGTTGTATTTTTTCCTCCCTTAATTTCTTAAAGGTTCTATGTTTTTCATGGCATTTAAGGCTGCTACTAAGAGTCATGAACATGTCAGCTGCCACTGAAATGTACAAATAGGTTTCAAGGAAGCATTCAGAGAGCTCTGGTCCCCACGTACCACTCTGTGCTTGGCAAGAGACTAACAACAAAACAGGTGTAAAAATGGAGACAGGAGCCAGGTGCAGAGGCAAAGTGGCAGAAAGGCAGCAAGCCCCTTGTCCAAGATGCCAGTCTTATTTATATCAGCAGGTCACCTTAGGTCACTGGCATTAGTAGTGCATTATGGTTCGTGGTGTCACCAGGCAGGTTACAGAATTAGCAACATTAGGCAGCTTATTCCTCAGTTACATACTACAGTTGCAATGTGCAATGTTGGGAGGCTGTGTAGCTCTCAAGAAGTTACTGTTACATGGACAGGTTCAGGCTCAGCACTGCTTGGTGACACATTGTGGTTGTCTAACCAGAGAGTTCCATTATTCCCAGGAGCTAAGTGGCTAGATCAAGGTCGAGGTTAATAAGACTCTAGCACAGAGCCTCCTCATGCAGGGCATTGCTAGAGCAGCTAGGTATTACACATGTATTAGTTATCTTGCTAGTTCCTGGGGGAAACTGCAGAATATTCCAAATGTGGAAAACAGAGTGCCTGCCCCACAGTGCACCCCGGGAGTTTGCTCACAGAGGAACGCTGAACATTTCCATGGCCAGAGCCCTTACAGTGAAGCCCGTGGAGATTCTTCACCACTGTGTCTGCATCATGGACCCAAATATGCAAATAAGCTACATGTTGTTACATGTCAGAGATCACTGCAATAGATGGAATATTTAGCATGTTTAAAAGATGCAAATAAGAGATTGAGTGAACCATTGCAGTGAAATCTCTATTTGGCCTATGTTGAGATTTAGACTGTTAAAATACAACTACGGATACTGAATGAACCCAGCGAGGCAGCCCCCTTTGGCTTCCTGCAGGGCTTTTCAAGGTGTGGGAATGTTGTTTTCTGTTCTCCTCTGCTGCACAATGTCCACTCCTAGGAGGTGTGCTGGATGGCCTCCCAAGCTACGTTACTACTGCTCTGTGCACACCTGCGACAGGTTGCAGTGTGGATTTGGTCCAAGACCCACCTGTGGAATTGCCAGGAACAGTGGAGAGTGATAGACCATCAATAAGAGGAAATAACAGAAGCAAATCAATATTGATCCTGGTTAAAAAAAAAAAAAAGACTCACTCTTCCTTTACATTTCCCAGAGATGATTACATTTGTTTGATTTTCTTTAATGAATAAAGGGATTGCTGTTCATGGATTTTTACAGAGAATAAGATTGACAAACCAAAAGGAAAAGAGCTAAAACACTCAATCTGTCTACTTTGAAGTTACCCTAGAGCCTAACCTGATAGTAATCTCATTATTCCCACACACATCCTCTCTCTGTCTTAAAATCTCTGCCCCAGAGATTTTCATGACTTGAAGCTAGAAAGTGAAGTGTGACTTCTATCTTGGCACTGAAAGGCCAGTCAGGCTGCACTCCCTGGGCTGCTAGACTCACTGGGAACTTGACAAGGGCATGAAGAACGTGCCTTTGTACACTGACAAAAGCTGTTCAAATGCTGAAATCACATAGGACACATATATGTTGATTTAGTGACATCTTGGATGGTCTGTTGAAATAGATAGTTTAAAATCTTGTGACAACTAGAAGATACTGAAGTGGCCTGCAGAGCCAAGGACTGAGAAGAAAGAGCTGTTTGGGGTGGACATTTGGCAATGCCCATGATTGGCTGCGATTGTCAGTGCCTATTGAGCGTCCCCGTAAGCGGGTCTCTCCATGGCATTTCCGCCTTAGCCTATCTCCGGCGTTGAGGGCACGCATGCCCTGGGTGCCCTTTCCTACATTCCCTGTCTTCCACTGCCCTGTCCCCTTGCCCTTCCCTGGTGGTGCCACTAAGTGCAGTCAAAACCAAATGTCTCACTAAGAGGCTCCAATTGGACAGGTCTCTGCAGGGTGCTTTGTGGGAGTTAACCTGGCTTTGTGAACTTCAGATCCCCGCAGCCCTCACCTCGCCAAGGTGTGGTGAAGAGGACCATGGGGCGTTTAACCACCCAGTCAACAGGTGATAACGGACCTCAAGAAGGCTCAGCAGTTTCCACAGTTAATATGAAGCCGTGGGTGGTGATTGCAGGCCACCACGTTTGACGGTCACCAGTCAGGAAATGTATTTTTCCTGCTATGACAGGAAAAACAGTGCGGAGAGCAACAGAGGAATCAAGACATCCTTCTGGGCTTGGGTTCAACATCTACATCATCATGAGCAGCAAGTGCTCTTGACTCCGTGAATGATGCCATTTTCCTTTTGGGAAACCCAGTTTTCCCATCTCTTTCTACATGTGTGGGGTGATTACATGTTGGTGTAACCTGTGTACAAAGGTCAGAAAACAAACCTCAGTTTTTTCCTGAATCAGTTTATGTGGTTCAATACAAAAATCCACAGCCAAAAAAGGTAAATGTATAAAAAATCTAAAACTGTATCTTTTTTACCTAGATGAAAGTAATTTAATATCAATTCTGTAGTAAAATGTGGTTTTAAAAAAGAATATAATTTGGGGCTGGGGTTGTGGCTCAGCAGAAGAGCGCTCGAGACCCTGGGTTTGATTCTCAGCACCACATAAAAATAAATAAGTCTAATAAAGACATCATGTCTAACGACAACTAAAGTTAAAAAAGAATATAGTTTACTAAAAAGGAATTTTTCTACTTTTAACTATGAGTAGGTCAAGTTAGTCATTAGGCAACCAATAAATATTTCTGAAAAAAATTCTTAGGCAGGGCATTGTGTGACCCCTAAACAAAATAAGCAAATGATGAACCAAAGAATGCAGAAGAATGGAGACAGCTCTCTCATGGATTGTGCTTTTGCTTCCTCTGCAGAGAAGCCCCGGGAAGCTTGTTTTGACCCTGGGAACATAATGAATGGAACGAGAATAGGAACGGACTTCAAACTGGGCTCCACCGTCACCTACCAGTGCGACTCTGGGTACAAGATTATGGACCCCTCGTCCATCACGTGTGTGATCGGGGCCGACGGAAAGCCCTCCTGGGACCGCGTGCTGCCCTCCTGCAATGGTAGGTCTGGACAGGCTCTCCTGCAGAAGGCCGCGCTCTGCCTCGCGGAGCCTCATCTAAACGGCTTCACGCTGCAGTGCTGTCCATCCTCCGCCATGGAGGACACTCAGCTCGGGGCCCGCAGCCGGCTCCTGACAGTCCTTGACGGCTCCATCTAGCCCACACATCAGCCATCCCCAGGGATTGCCAGAGAGGGGATTTTTTTTTTTCTTTTACTCAGGTATTTTGATACTTTTTACTTGTTTTTGTTATTTTAGACCAGCTCCACACAAGAAGTACAAATTAGCATTTTCTAAGTGTTTCTATGTTTTTTTTTTAGGTGTTTCTGGGTTAGCTGATTACACAGATGGAGACTATCTAAAGAGGGACAGGGAAATGGAGAGTGAGGGGCAGAGAAAGAAATTTTAAAATACATACATCATTGGAACAGATATAAAATTTCCCCAAAGCATAATTACTTTGTAATTCTTTATTTAGAGATAAAATTAACAAAATCATCTTGTAAAAATGAGATCATCCTTTAAGATGAATCAAAGCTAAACTCTAGTGACAGAGGTCAGACAGCCCTGGGGTGGCCTCCAGGATGCTGGCTGCTCTGCATCTCCTCTAGGTAGCTCCATTGGAGGCCCCCGGGCAAGACCTGCTCATGCTGTGGACACAGTCTGCAGGTGTTGATTAAGAAAATAGGGCAGGGGTCCAGCTCAGTGTGGGGCACTTGCCTAGCACGCATGAGGCCCTGGGTTGCTTCTGTTAAGTAAATAAATAAAAACCTAGAGGCCGAAGCACGTGGTCTCCCCATTACTTTAGGACATAATCTAAACCTGTGCAGGGGACGTATTTCCACTGGTCAGCCTTGCAATTCCACTAGCATCGTCTCACCAGATAGGCATTTAAAAAATGTGTTTGCAAAAAACCCAAACCAACAAACACAGCCCATCCTGTTCTGTTCTGCTGTCTGTTTAATCCATTGTCCTTCTGAGAGCCTCCATGAAGGCCCCGTGTCCACCAGCACCAGAGGCTGCGTGGAGTAAGAACTGAGTGCATGATGCTAGGGTCAAAGAAGACCTCAACGATGACCCTCCCCGTTCTTACCTGTGGACCACAGGGACGCCTTCCAGGGCTCAGGAGGTGTGTGAAGGCGAAGGTCCTGAGCAAGGGGGCATCCCGTGGCCCCTGCTGTGAGGGGCCTGGAGTGCACCCTCTGATCCCCACTCTTCCTGGCTCCCAAGGAGGCACTGTGTGCTCCCTGCTGAGCGGGGCACCCACTGGGACTCCCCAGGATTTTGCCTGCGGGGATGAGTGTTGGGGAGATAGCAGCAGGAAGTGAAATGAAGGAAAGATCCTGGATTTTGTGAGTTTTGCACACGGATGATATTAAGGGAATCTACTCGGTGCTAAATTCAAATGAAATTTTAATTTCCAGGCAATGGTGGCAGGTTAGCAGAGGATAAAATGGGACCGGGAAGAGCAGGGAAGGCCCCCTGGAGCCTCCGTCTGTGATCAGCTGTTGAGGTAGAGGTCGCCTCTTTTTCTAAGTCTGAAGTCCCGTGAGGTCAGGCCTGGTTTTTAGTCATCGATGCTCATGAAACACAGAACTCAGACTTCTGCTCATGGCCTTCCACTTGCATCTGAATAAAATTCCATATTCCAAATCTTGAAAGCAGAGATGACGCCCCCAGTGTGTGGGATCGCTCGTGGAGAGTGGGGCATTGTGTGCATCAGTCAGTGCTAGTGGTCACTCGGGCCAGCAGTCATGCTCGGGGGCTTCTGCCATAGTTCAGACCTTTAGAAGTTTCTGTACTATAAGGCACAGCCAGTGAATGCTGCACCAGCTTGCATCAGATGCCTGGAACAATTTTTTCATGATGGTATTATTGATGGCCCATGGTTTTGTCCGTTGAGGTTTGCTATGGAAGTGGAACTGAACTTGAAATAGCACAGAGCCCCTCTCTTGGTCAGGATGGCTCTTGTCTGCCAGAATGGTCCCTGGTGTACTCAGCTGGACGAAATGGTCACTTCACCTGGAAGATGTACAGTTAACCAAATGGGTGGTTAGGTTTCATTTGACCACTTGCCACAAATGCTGTGGCAATCTTTTTTCACCTACAAAGCAGTTTAGCAGGTTAGTTGTCAAACGGGACACACTCATTTATTTTTATTCTGTGCTCACATTAATATAGAGTAAGAGAAGGGGCAGGTCTGCTCCCTACCTGAGCATAGGAAAAGAAACAGAATGGTTATTAAGAATCGACAAGCATTCTCTGCATGTTTTCTCAATTCCAGAAATCTTTGTGGCCTGTGGGATGCATTTTTTAGTTGTGGTGATTTAAGTTTCAGGAAGGATGTCAGGCAGAAGCATATTTAGTGGTAAAAACAAACACCGTTTTTCTTCATTTCTTATTTGATTTTTAAAACAGCAGTGCTCTTTTACCCAATCCTAGGACAAAGCGTTTGTAGCCACACCTTAAGAACTACATCAGAAAGTGTTCTTCAGAAGAATAAATTTCTAATATCTAAAAATTTGGGCAACAAAATTTTGGCAAAGTCATTTTTTTTCCATTTTTCATTTACACATTTTCTCTGAAATTTGAAATAGGTTATTTATTACTCTTGAAGAGCAGTGGTTGCAAAATGATCTGCCTGAGTATTACATGCCTGGGCTAAAAGGAGATAAGTCTCCATTTTTGTTTGTATTTATTTTCACAACTTTGGTCTATAAACCTTTGAGAAAAAAGAGGTGATTTTCCTGAAATAGCCAGTTTGGATTCACGTGATGAGATGGAGATGACTCTGAGTGGCACATCTACACGGAGGAGGGGGCTCCCAACACTTCCCTGGGTGCCTTCAGCTTTGGAGGTATCTTCCACCCCAAAGTGAAAATGATCTTTTTCTATTTAAAACTGTAAGATGTCATTTGGAATGATGAAGGCGTTCTGAATCACAGCATTGGCATGGAGGTGTGCTGAGCTCGCTCAGGTCTCTACCAGCCTCTGGAGCAGGGACAGAGCACACCGATGACTCAGCTGTTTTTCTTCGACTTCTAGAATAGACTTAGAGCTTTCCAAGACACTGAAATACAAGGATTTGGGAAATTGGTGGACAAACCATTAACTCTCTTGAAAATAATGAATGAGGTGTCTGAGCATTAGCAGTTGCATATTCTGAGTTTTATTAATGGTGGAGAATGTTCAGTTCATTAATAGGATTTAACTGTGCTGATTAACATTCAAAGGATTCAGTATGCTCTCATTTCTATTTTTTGAAAATTACCATATCAAGGAGAAGCGAGCTGTAGAAATATGGACTTCTGAACGGTCTGAGTCCTAGCCAGCCGAGGGGTGTGTAAGATGAGAAGAGAGTAGGGCTGCAGGAGGCAGGCTTCAGGGTGGCAGGCTGGCAGCAGGCACTTCCATGCTGGCCCACTCTGCCACTGCACAGGCCAGGGCACACCAGCCCTCCACATCAAACAGGAGGTGGAGAGGAGCTGGAGACTTGGAAACTGAGCACGGCGTGACTGTGCTCTAGCTGGATGTCTGCTCTAGGATGCCGATGCACCCACACATGCGCACACAGATGAGCACACACACACACATCCACACACACACACACATAGACACACCCATATACATACACACACACAGATAAACCCCCCACGCAGATTCACCCATACACACACACAGATACACCCCCCCACACACAGATGTACTCATTCACACACACACACAGATATATCCATATACACAAACACAGATACACCCATACACACGCACAGATACATCCCCCCACACACAGATGTACTCATACAGACACACACACACACACAGATATATCCATATACACACACAGATACACCCACACACACACCCACAGATGCACCCATACACACACCCACAGATGCACCCATACATACACACAGATACACCCATACACACAGATAAACCTTACACACACAGATATACCCACACACAGAGATCCACCCATACACACTCACATAGATCCACTGGAATAACTTCTGGTTTACAGCTGGCAGCTATGAGCAGCTTGGAGGGCTTGAAGAATCTACGCTCTTCAGGCCTGACAGGAAGGCCTGCAGGATGGGGTGCTCTGCTCTGGGAGCCCTTAGTGAAACCACAGCCTCAGCACTTGTGGTCAGTGTGACCCAGCTGCCAGGCCAGGAAACCCATAGTCAGGAGCTTCGGGGCATGAGACCCCTGACTCAGAAGGCCCCTCCCATAGGGACAAAGACCCTTCCAGACAATAGCAATATTTAGAGCTTCCTCACAGTGCAGTTACCATAGGCATAAGATGATTGGCTTATGGATACTATCTTCCTTATGTATGATGGATGGGATGCCCCACCTGAGCCCTATAACAGTTGTATGCATTCCAAAAATAAACGAGCCACTGGACATCATCTAGGTCGCCACCAGCCAGTTCTCATCAGCTCCCGGCGTCTGTGTGTTGACTCTGCGTCTCTGCCTCCCACGACTGAGGTAGCCGAGTGACTAATTGACCACACCAGTGACCAGAACGACTGCATCCACACATACACACACACAGATGCACACACACACAGATGCACACACACTCAGATCCACCCATACAAACACACACAGATGCACACACACTCAGATCCACCCATACACAGCCATACCCATACTCACAGCCACACCTATACACACAGATACACCCATACACACAGCCACTTGTATACATTCACACAGACACCCACATGTACACATATACATACACACTGGCATATACACATACACAAATACGCACATGCACACACCTATACACATGTATAATTCACACACCCATGTCGGCACACAGTGATACATAGATGCCCACACCCATTCACACCCATGTACACAGATACACAGGGATTCATACATGTACACACTCCTACACACCCATGTACACCAGAGGCACACCCACAGACACTGAGCTCTCTGTTGCTCAGCATCTTTCTGCCCCAGCTCTCTGGCTGGGTGTTCCTTGAGCTCTAAGGTGAACTTGGAGACCCCAGAAGCATACCCGAGTGCTACCCTTCAGCTGCGTGTATGAAATGCAAAGTTAAAACAAACAGAGCCTGCAAAGGAAAACGTGCCATTCTCTGAGTTCCATGTGAAGGAAACTGAAATGATTCGCATCTCTCATGGTGACAGGATGACTGGGATCAGCCACGGTGTTTGGAGGAGCCTTTTAAAGGGATTAATTATTACAGTTGATCCGATGTTTTATTGTTACCTGCCTGGACCGGTCTTGAGACCCCAGTAGATCCCCTCTAACGGGGCCCTGTGTGGCCTGGCTCCCTTGGGTCTCCTGCAGAGCAGGACCTGGGCGAGCCTCGCTGCGCTTTCCCCCCAGCAGCGTCTGCTCCCAGGACACCTTTGGGCTTCAGCTCTGTCGCTCACACTGTCCTGCATGTCACTCTGTCACTCACACTGATCTCTTTCCAGCTCCATGCGGAGGCCAGTACACGGGATCCGAAGGGGTGGTCCTGTCACCAAACTACCCACACAACTACACAGCTGGCCAAATATGCCTCTACTCCATAACCGTGCCCAAGGAATTTGGTAAGAAAGTACTTGGTTTTCAGTTCGTTGTCGTGTTTCTCACGTTTCTCTCAGGGCTCATTTTCCTGTCATTTGGTAAATATCCAACTCCTAACAGTGACATCATGCAGAGATAGGGGTCGCAGCACAGGTGCAGACTCTCAGGTGCAGCCCAGGTGTCCCTGAGGTCTTTGCCAACGTGCTCCAGCTGCGTGTCCCCAGGAGTCTGACCCACAACCCCAGAACCTGGCCAGGAGGTTCCTAGTGTTTCTGAGGAATCACTCTCTCCACTGGCTGCCTGCTTGGGCAAGGGAGGCCTGCACAGCAGCCCTGCGGGGGGCAGGACACTTGCATCCCTGGGCACAGCGGGCAGGTCTCTTAGTGGGCAGGTGGGGCTGTGGTCTCCTGTGCACCTCAGCCTTGACCCTGCACTGAAGGGAAAGCTTCTTCATTCCCCCAAATGCTCCAATTCCTCCAGTTACTTTACTCTTTCTACCTTTTATGCATCAAAGTGTCTTTATCAAATTGGAATACAGCAGTCAGTCTATGATTGCAGTTATTATAAATCGTACCTCACATCACAATGCAACAGTGATTTTGAACAGAAGAAAAGTCACATGCCCTATCCTGAATATTGATTATAAGGTCCCAACCTGAGTAGTTCAGGAACACAAGCACCCCACTCCATCAAATTAAAGCTTTAGTTTGGAGTGAAAGTGCTACATGAAATACTTAAGGAAAATCCCTAATGATTTTGACCTTTCCTACCCCTTACCTACTGTTTCCTGGGACATTAATCAATTGGTTCAGCAATTCCATACTTTGATAAGTGCCAGTGATACCAATATGAATGAAGTACGGCCCGTGTCCTGACATGCTCCGTGTGGGGTGTGCTTGGCAGGTGTGTGAACCAGGAGGTGACGTGACGCTGTCTGGGCAGGAAGGGCTGCCCACCTTGTGGTCAGCACAGGCCGCAAAGGGGAAGTGGCATGTAGTACAGGTCCTCAGAGATGTCAGTGGTGTCTGTGTTCACCCCAGGCAGCCCCAGGTACCCTTTGTAAAACCAAAGAGGATCATGTTAACATCTTGATAAACATTCGCCCACTCCTTTGCCTACTCTGTGAAATGTATGTGTTGAAGTCGGGCGTTTCAGGCCCTGGAGATGTGGGCTGCCACCTTATTCCCTGATCCACCAAGTGACAGCCAATTCAGACTGTCACCTCCAAAGTCTCGCTCACTGTGGCCTACTTGTGAAAGGATTTCCTTATAGTCCATCCTTAGGATACAGCAAAGGGGGGGGCGGTGTTTCCTTCTCACTGGTGAAGCACTGTTTGAGTCTGCTTTCGCATCACTGTGACCAAAACTCCTGATGAGAACAGAGTAGAGGAGGAGAAGTTTGTTTGGCTCATGGTTTCAGAGGTGTGGTCCATGGCCTAAAAATGCCCCAGCTCCAGGCACAAGATGCAGCAAACATCATGGTGGAAGGGTGTGGCCGGGGAAAGCAGCTCCGCACACGGAACCAGAGAAACAGAGAGACTTCCCGCAGTGGCAAGTCCCAGGGACCCCCTCCTCTGGCCACACCCCACCTGTCCGGCCACACCCTACCTGCCCACAGTTACCACCCAGTTAATGCTTCAAGTGGAGTAATCCATGATCAGGTCACACCTCTCATCATCTAATCATTTTACATCTGAAAATTATCGCATAATCTGACACCCGAGCTTTGGGGGACACTGCATACCTTCCTGGGAAATGTGAGCCTTACCCACAGCTGGACACAGCCCTCCTGCGGCCTGAGTCCCTGGAGTCCTGCTGTGCACTTGGTCCCTTGTGCACCGTTTTCTCAGCAGATGACTTCCTGGAGTGCACCTGCCTTGAGCCCCAGACTCTTAGACTGGGCCCTGGAAGCCCTCAGAAGGAGTCCCCCAGAGGGACCATGGCTCCTCCTCGTGTGCACTCCGTGCCCCTGCTTGCTGCAGTCCTGCCACCACATCAGCGTCCTCTTACCTCCTCTAAGTTCCTGCCATGAAGTGGATGTTTTGCTAAAGATTTCTTGAACAAAAGTAGGAATTACGTGTAGATGGCTCACTTTTGTTCTGATTAAGACACCCAAGTATTCCACCGCCAACATGATGAAAACAAAATTGATTTTGGAAATGGCGGGGCACATGCTAGAAATGTAGGGAATCGTGACGTTCTCCTAGCTGTAGCCTCTGAACCCCGCACTTGTGGAGCACCTCGCTGGGGGAACTGCCTCCTGTCCACAGGCTTCCTCTGAGCTACCTCCCAGGGAACTTAAAACTCTCCATTCACAAGGCACATTACACACGTGTGCACACTCTACATACACAGCACTCAAGTGTGTGTGTAGACAGAGACATGCATACTCCTGCAGGTAGATGGCCTCTTGTGTGCTCACTATCACAGAACCTGGGCTCGCACAGCTAATGTGCGTTTCCACCCCTTGCTCCAATGATTTAGAATGACGGCCCAGCTTTCACATAAATAGGAAAAGGATGAGTTGCTATTGCTTGGAAAAAGATGCTGAATCACAGGATTTCCTAAATATTTAAAGGCTCTCTATCACCAATTTGAATTCACAAATATAAATTAAATTTTTCACTGTATAGTATGTATTTATGATATACTTGGAGAAGGGGTGTTCACACAACTTAACCTATAAGATAAATAAAATTGTGCAGAGGAATAACAATAAGCAAGTCCTACGTGTGCTGCTGAATCAAGGGTATGAACAAGTTAATATGAATTTGACGGTGGGTTAACATAAATTGTTAATAGAGTAACTTTCTGTAACGAATTTTAAATTACTCACCAAATTACCATGCATTTTTATCTGTTTATTTTTTATTGAATAAAATGTCTCTGACTACACAAAAATTAATGGGATGCCTTTATAGATGTTCGTCTACTATTTTAATGCAGTATTTAATAAAAGAAAAAAAATCCTCATTTAATGTTAAAATTACACAGAGAGCAGTAATTTCTCTCCTCTTATTAACTACCAAAAAAAAAAAAAAAACAAGATGTAAAGTAAAATTGTTTTATCACTGAAAAAATACAGAAAAAATAAATTCCCATTTATGTTTTACAGGAATGTTGAGGTAGTGGTGCTTGGGGGACCAGCCAGCGCTGTCCACCCTGGCCTCTGTTCCCTTCTAAAGCATCTTTCCCTCCGCCCTTTGTTTTCAGTGGTGTTCGGGCAGTTTGCGTACTTCCAGACAGCGCTGAACGACTTGGCAGAACTGTTTGATGGAACCCACCCCCAGGCCAGACTTCTCAGTTCACTCTCGGGCACTCATTCAGGTCAGATGCTTTTACAATCCCATGAGACATCTGTGGTGACTGATTTTAAATTTGTCTATTTCTTTGTTTTGATGAATGAGAAATTTAATGATTGAATTTGCAGGTGTGTTTAGCAAAGTCTTGTTTTAGGTATAAGCTTTCAGAAGTGTCTTATCCTATTTAAAAAACACCCACCTTTATGTTCCATAGTAAGATCATGGAACATGTAATATGTCAATATAAGAGCAAATATCAGAAACTTAATGGGTGCTAAGTTGTGTCATGTATTTGTTTCCTGCTTCATAATCCTCTACCTGGAGTCAAGAGCTCTTCACAGTTTGTTCTAAATCCTTTAAAACCTGAACTTGTGCCCAGGCAGAGAATATCCATAGATTCCAGTGTCCATGGAGGGTTCCTGAAACCAGCCCCCTTCAATACGTAGGGAACGGCACAACTCTGCAGGATTAATTTATCACAGTCTATTTACCACACCCCTTACCAATGAGCCAGTCCCTTTATTTTCACTTCTGCTATCTTTTCAGCATTTACTTGTTAAATTTGCTAAATCAGTCTCCAAGTAAAGGATGTATACACAGTCTCGAAGCTACTAAGGTTAAGATTTAGTTATTTCCAGCTTTTCACTATTTCTTTTTTATCTTTACACTTTTAAATTTGTTCTAACTAGTTATACATGACAGTAGAATGCATTTTGACATAACATACATATATGGAGTATGTCGTCTCATTCTTCTGGTTGCACATGATGTAGAAGTACACTGGTTATATAATCATATATGCACGTAGGTAATAATGTCTGATTCATTCCACTATCCTTCCCATCCCCATATACCCTCCTCTCCCTTCACTCCCCTCAGTCTGATCCAAAGTCCCTCTGTTCTTTCCTAGCTCCCCACCGTATTATGAATCAGCATCCACATATCAGATACAGCATTCACTTCTATGGGATTCTTAGGGATTGGCTTATTTCACTTAGTGTGACATTCTCCATCTCCATCCATTTACCACCAAATGCCATAACTTCATTCTTCTTTAAGGCTAATATTTAATTGTGTACATATGCCACATTTTCTCTATCCATTCATCTGCTGAAGGGCACCTAGGTTGGTTTCATAGTATTGTGAATTGAGGTGCTATAAACATTGATGTGGCTGCGTCACTGTCGTATGCTGGTTTTAAGTCCTTTGGTTATAAACCAAGAAGTGGAATAGCTGGGCCAAATGGTGGTTCCATTCCCAGTTTTCTGAGGAATCTCCATACCGTTTTCCATAGTGATTGCACCAATTTGCAGTCCTACCAGCCGTGTATGTTTGTGCCTTTTCCCCCACATCATCGCTCACATTTATTATGATTTATATCCTTGATAATTGCCATTCTGGCAGGAGGGAGATGAAATCTTAGAGTTGTTTTGATTTGCATTTCTCTAACTGCTAGAGATGCTGAACATCTTTGCATATATTTGTTCACCATGTGCATTTCTTCTTCTGAGAAGTGTCTGTTCAGTTCCTTAGCCCATTTATTGATGGGGTTATCTGGGTTTTTGATGTTGAGTTCTTTATATATCCTGGAGATTAATGCTCTATCTGAAGTGCATGTGGTAAAGAATTTCTCCCATTCTGTAGGCTCTCTTCTCACGTTCTTGATTGCTTTCTTTCCGTGAAGGTTTTTAGTTTGATCCCATTTACTGATTCTGGATTTTACTTCTTTTGCTTTAGGAGTCTTGTTAATGAAGTTAGTTCCTAAGTTGACATGGTGGAGATTAGGCCTATCTTTTCTTTTGTTAGGCAAAGAGTCTTTGGTCTAATGCCTAGACCCTTGATCCACTTTGAGTCGAGTTTTGTGCAGGGTGAGAGATAGGGGTTTAGTTTCATTCTGCTGCATATGGATTTCCAGTTTTCCCAGCACCATTAGTTGAGAGGCTGACTTTTATACAATGTATGTTTATGGCTCCTTTGTCTAGTATGAGATAACTGTATTCATGTGGGTTTGTCTCTGTGTCCTCTATTCTGTACCATTGGTCTACATGTCTGTTTTGGTGCCCATACCATGTCATCTTTGTTTCTATGGCTCTGTAGTCTAATCGGTGATCCGGTATATTCTGATGCCTCCTGCTGAACTTTTCCCACTGAGGATCGTTTTGGTTATTCTAGGACTCTTATTTTTTTAAATGAATTTCATGATTGCCTTTTCTATTTCTATGAAGAATTCCATTGGAATTTTTAATATGAATTGCATTAAATCTATATAGTGCTTTTGATAGTATGGCCATTTTGACCATATTATTTCTGCCTATCCAAGAGCAAGGTAGATCTTTCCATCTTCTAAAGTCGTCTTCTTTAGTGTTCTATAATTTCCATCATAGAAGTCTTTTACCTCTTTTGTTAGGTTAATTCCCAAATATTTTATTTTTTTGAGTCTATTGTGAATGGAGTAGTTTTTCCAATTTCTCTTTCAGTGGATTCATCACTGATGTAGAGGAATGCATTTGACTTATGGGTGTTAATTTTTTACCCTGCCACTTTGCTGAATTTACAGATGCAGAAAAAGCATTTGACAAAACACAGAACCTTTTAATGCTAAAAAGAGTAGAAAAAAATAGGGATAACAAAATCATATCTCAACATTATCAAAGCTACCTATGATAAACCCAAGGCCAACATCATTCTAAATGGAGAAAAATTGAGAGCATTCCTGCTAAAAACTGGAACAATACAGGGATACCCCTTTTTACCACTTTTATTCAACATTATCCTTGAAACTCTAGCCAGAGCAATTAGATAGACAAAATAAATTAAAGGGAAACCAATAAGAAAAGAAGAACTCAAACTATTACTATATGTTGATGACATGATTCTATATCTAGAAGTTCCAAAAAATTCCACCTGAAAACTTCTAGAACTAATAAATGAATTCAGCAAAGTAGCAGGATATAAAACCAACACCTATAAATCACTATTTCTTAACCAAACAGCTATGACCATGTTTTGTTATTTTCTACCAACATCCTATGGTAGAACCTTTAAGAAGAGGCATTCAAAATCTTGATACGTAGTAACAAATTCTCCTGGAAAATCTTGTAGCCACCCACTCCCAAGCTGTTCAGGATAGGATACAGGCCAGGCTCTCTCAAGAGGTTACAATTTTACTTCAGTAGGCTTTTCCTGAATGTGTTAATTTTTAAAATCAACTTTCAATTCAAAATATTTTTTTTTCATTTTAAGAAAATTTCTAGCCAGCAAGAATCGAATCAATGTAATCTGAGGTAATGACGCAGCCAATAATTGTGTCTTACCTGTTAGCAGCCAGTAGCCCTATTCTGTTGTCTTCAGAAGAAGCAAACATGAAACAATGATTGAATACATTTTACTAGAATGTAGGAACAGAGTTTTAAAGTCTTGATATAAACAATATTTGGGTCTTAAACCCAAAATTAAAGTTTATTTTTTTAAAGTTCAAAAATTCATTGTAAAATTCCAAGTTAAAATGATCTCTGTGAATACTCCCATTCACCCAGGGCTGGGTGTTTTCTGGCCCCAGGAATGATCTCTGCCTTTATCTGTAGGTGAAACGCTGCCTTTGGCTACATCCAATCAAATCCTGCTTCGATTCAGCGCCAAGAGTGGGGCGGCCGCCCGGGGCTTCCACTTTGTTTATCAAGGTAAATGCACCCCCTATCCCCCTCCTCGGCTCCTCTAACACTGCAGCTCCACCCTCTTCAGACAAGTCATGGAAGTATCCAAACCATACTTTTGTGATATTTAAGGAATTGAGGATATTTATATAAGATAAAATTATTTAATGAAAATATTAGTTGTTCTTTCAACACCTGGATTTTCTATTTCTACTCCAGATCATAATATCTCATTTATCCAGCACTATACGGAGACGGATCTTTATCCTATGACCTTTGTGTAGCTCTGCACTTCTCAAAATGTCTGCAAATATAATATTTTATCTGATTAAGTAAACCATTTCATTATAGTTTATATCTTTGCAAGGACTTGAATGAAACACACTTAATCAGGTAATCCAATTGTTACTGGGAAAATAAACTTAAACAACAATTTAACAACAACAACAAAAAAAAACTTATGCATCTCTCACTTTACCTACCTAATTTTGGTTGGTCGTGCTTTATTCACTTTTAGCTCTTCTACATCATTTCTGTTTATTTTTAAATTTGGAATTCATTAAAAATAAACTTGGGATTGCTTCATAGATTTGAAGGGTGAAGAATTTTACCTGAGTGTGGTTTACCTTTTTTGCACCTTCATTGAGTGAACTTAAGAAACTGCCAGGTGACCGCATGTACATTTGGGGATGAGAGCAGGGGCAACATGGGACTTGTCATGATCACCTTTGGTGGGGGGGGGGATCTGGGAGAGACTTTTCCTTGTAGAGAAAAACTGTCCAAACATAAGGCGCGATCTTGATCCAGTTTTCCTCTAGGCTAGAGAGAATACTACCCACCCCTAAATATTCTCCTTCAGTTGGAAGGAAATAATTTTTTAGCAATGACATGTTTCCCTTAACAAAGACTTCAGAAGCATCCTTGATATATTATGTTTTTCAAAAAAAATATAGAGAATAACAAGGTCGTATATTTATATATCCTAGCTAATAATCTCACATTGCAAAAGCCATGCCATCAAAATATTTCACTATAAAAGAAGCCTCAGTTTTCAGCAATAAGAATATTTAAAGAATAGTGGAAAGAAAGTGAGAATAATATTTGACAGATAAGTAGGAGGCAAACTGTCTTGAACCTGGTTTAAGCAGCAGTTGATTGAATCTCTATGCTATTGATTTAAATGTCACCACCTTGCTATAAGCTGTACTCTTGTTAAATATGAACAATTAACTAGTATCTCTTAAAAATTGACTTTATTAGGAGAGAGACCAATTTAAAGAGCCTACCTCTTGCCACTCCTAATTTTCTTCAAATAAATTCTAAATTAATTTGAAAAAGTATATTCACAAGCCAAAATTCATGTAATATATGTAAAGAAACTGAACCAATTGATCTAAGTATATTTTTTCCTCCTGAAAAAATTCAAGTCATTGGCATTCTCTACATTCTCTGCCTTTCTAAGATACTTGCTTTGATTTTTTATAAAGATTACAAAATTGTTCAGATAATCAGATGAAATATCTTATGCAAATGACTCAACATCTTTATCTTCAAATGTTATCGCCAGAAAACATATTTTTGAAATCATGTTTTCTTGTTTAAAAGCATGCATGATTATTAAAAGAAAAGCAGAGAGTAAAGAAAAACATAGACGGAATCTAGTTTCCTTGTTCTGAAGAATATAAATGGCTCTAAAATCTTCAATATTTTGTAAAGTCCCAATATACCCTTTTTTCTTGCTTTCAACCAGTGAGGTTATGCAAAAATCGGGGTCTCTTTTCATCAGAGCTAACTCCTTTGCAGATACAGGGAGAAGACAATGAATGCAATTTACAAATCACTCAACAGCAATGGGGAAATTTTCAATACCTATGAAAGGTAGTTGTTGTGTTGAATGTTGAAGCCCCCAAATTACTTGAACTCTCTTGTGTGAAAGTTTCCTGAACAGTGCTTCCTATGTTAGTTACAGCTTCCTTCTTTTGTGAATTACTAAAGCTTAAAATTGCACAGTGACTGTATGACTCCTCTGGTGGCAGGTGATCTAGCTCTTGTTCCCAGACAGCTCAACTGTGAAGGACTGCCGGGGACAGATGAGCAGGGTCAGAGTGCAAGCTATGTCTGTGAGTAGGTGAGCAAGGGTGGTCCTCCTGGGGCCATTGGTGGCTCTCTGCTCCCCGCCTCACCAGGTCATCCTGATACTAACGTGGAGACTTCGGTAACCATGACGCTACCATCTCTCAAACTTGTGGAGAGAAAGAAAAGGACATGTACATAGGGCCTTTCGTTTTTCACAAAGTGTCCTGATCATCCTAGGTATTTGCTGGCTTTCATTCATTTGTTTCCCACAGTCCTTGAGAGTAGGAGCTTACATTTGGAAGCCTGAGGGCAGGAAGAGAGAGTTGGTACCCTTGGAAGGCCAAGAGTCCACCGTCTGCACAATGCAGCAGTTGGCTCTTCAGCATGGGTGCCCCCTGAGCTGGAGCCTGGGGTGAGGTGGAAGTGCATGGCTGTTTGGGGCTATTCAGTGGGAACTCAGGGCCTGGCTACTCTCTGGGAGCAGAGTGGCATAGCTCACCATGACCATGAGCAAGAAGGACTAGTGGGCAGGGGCTGGGGCTATGGCTCAAGCGGTAGCGCGCTCGCCTGGCATGCGTGCGGTCCGGGTTCGATCCTCAGCACCACAGACAAACAAAGATGTTGTGTCCGCCGAAAATGAAAAAAATAAATTCTCTCTCTCTCTCTCTCTCAAAAAAAAAAAAAAAGGACTAGTGGTCAGCCGAGTTAGGCAGGCTCAGTTGGCAGCCACGTCCCCGTGGGCTGAACACCCTTCCCTGCTGTGGCTAGTCTGACCCCAGCAGCCCAAGCACCGTTCGCGGTGTCTGAGGCAACGTGGTGGTCAACAAACTTGGGAAGCAGAGGCGTGGTGGGAGCTCATCCTGTGGGGAGTGGTCGGCACTCCCCCTGAAGTGTGAGTGTCTAGGAGGGCTGTGGTCCTGCCGTCTGACGTGGTGGCCGCGGCGTTATTCCTGCACATCTAGCTTCCTGAGGACTCGGGTGGGCACTTACTCTGGAAGGCCGGGCATGTTTAGTCTTGCATGTTTCTTCTTAGATATAAGCAGGGTTTCCTTACCAGCTTCCTACCCCCCAGGAGTTCCTGGGGGAGGGACTCCTGTCACCCCCCTCTGCATTCCTGAGTCCCCTGACCCTTTCACTGCCAGGCAGAGAGAGGCTGGCAGAGCCTGGGATGTGCTACTCAGTCGTGGGATCCTTGCAATTCCTCATCAAAAGCCAGTGTATTCTTAGGTCAGAGCAAAGGAAAGAACTGCACACAGCATTACTTAGTAAGTAGAAGAGGACTTTGATTCTGTTCGGTAATGTCATCACTTTGTACTAGAAACATTTTGGTGACACCAAGTATCTGCCTCTCAGTACTGGAGTCCACACTGGAATGAGTGGATAGGCTAGTAGAGGCCAGCAAATCATGGCCAAAACCCTCCTGCTTCTTGCTGACCACCAGGCAGGTGCCCATTGGGGCAGCGTAGGCAACACTGTCCACACCTTCTCCTCTGCCCTCTCTGTCTGGTGCCTGTGACTGTCTGAGGGGAGCTGTCACCTGAGTCTATCATCAATATCAGACTGCCTTTAACGCTCCTGTGTGCACGCTAGGTGTACACAGCCTGGTCTCCCACCCTGTTCCAGCGTGCAGTTCTGGGCCACCTTCAGCCTCCTCCACAGAACTCATACCAGAATTACTAAACTAGAAGGATCTACTGTACGTTTCTCCTAGCTTTAGTAAAGGTTCATCGTCGATATCTCGGGGGAAAGGAAGCCATGTGTCACAACACCTCCCTATGGGGGGCACTTTAGAAGTGGCAGCTCGCCTTTGGTCTTCCATGGCATGGGTGCTGGGTCACCAACCCTGACCAGTTTTCCCTACTGGCCACCCAGCAATGCCTGAACATCATCGGTCCTGAACCACCTGCCCAGAAAAGCATCTCACTCCCAGACACGCCCACCCTCCCTGGCCACGCCCACAACTCCAACCTATTCCTGGCCACTCCCAGAACAGCTTCTTACGCCACATTTTTCCAGGTCTAACTCTCCTTTTAGACAACAACAACATGGAGGCTTAATTGGTTTCCCCCTTTAAGATATTCACATTTTATATTAAGAGCTTATTAAATGTAAAGCTTTTACAAAGAAGTTTCAGCATAAATTTTATTTGTAATCTGGCAATAAATGTCTAAATTCCCCTGCTAGTAATGACCTGTCAAATCAGATGTCTCAGAGCCAGAGGGGAAGACGTTTGGAAAGCAAGGAGAAGAGACAAATTTTAATATCCCAGGAGGTGGGAGAGAAGAAAGCTGCAAAACTGAGACCAGCAGGAGATGAAGAAGCACGAGATGTTCTGCAGTCACTAAAGGAAATAGGAGAGTGCCTCAGGTGGACACTGCAGGCCGGTCCTACCTGCACTCAGGTTTGTTTTCTTGGGCACATCTCCTGCACTGCCCAGGGCAGGAGTGCAGCAAGAGAGCTTCACGCTCACATCTGCGGTTGTGTCCGTGGTGGTGACAGATGATTAACAGAGCCATCCCCTGGTGCCCACTAAAGGTACACACCCGTTCCTGGTGCTTCCACTCTGGGCCCTGCAGCAGCACTGGTCCCAGCCACCCAGCTGTCTGGCCTGTCACCTTGGTTCTCCAGCACGACCTTGTTCTCTGCCCACTTTTCACTAGTTCGATTTTGGTGTTGTCTCACAGCCATGGAAAGTGTTCCTAACTGGTAGAGGGGAATCACAGTGGGGGGGCAGAGGCTGTGTGAAGGGCCAGGGAAGGTGGGGCCCGAGGGCGGACCCAGAGGGCTGGGTGCAGAGAGTGCTGGGCTCTCCCCAGACACACACACGCGGGCTCATGTCTCAGTTTTGTAGCTTTCCTCTCTCCCACCTCCTGGGATATTAAAATTCATTTCTTCTCTTTGCTTTCCAAACGTCTTCCTGAGAAACGTTCTCCAAAATTGCTTTAGAAAGCAGGTATTACTCCTTAATTGTTGGTTTTCTTAAAATAATTAGCTATCACGTTCGTGGTCATTGGCACCGGACATTCATCTTACCTAGAAGGTGGGAGGGTCAGAGCAGCCTGGGACTGTTGAGAGTAGGGAGCGCCTGCTCATGCTGGGCACGCAGGGACTCTTGGGCCTTTTCGTGGCTTCCAATGTGGCCTTCCTCTCAGTGCCACGCAGCCGGCAGATGCCTGGGCTTCTCTCTCTTTGAGGAGGCCTGCTCTGAGCTCCTTCCAGGTGCACAGCGCAGGGTGGCTGACTGCAGGCAGAACTTCTCCACCTCCCCAGCCAGGCCTCGTCATGCCCACTGTGCATTAGGCCCCTGTGAGTGCGAGATCTAAGACTGCCTCCTTGCTGGGAGGAATCTGCAGCCTTGGCCCTCTGGGACTGGCTCATTTCATTTTGCACAAGTCCTCGAGGGGCAGGAGATCCTTCCTTTGTAAGGTTGAGTAAAATTCCAGTGTACACACGTTTAGACCCCTTTTCTTCACCCATTCTTCTGCGGACAGTTAGCTTGTTCCCCATCTTGTCTATACTGAGTAGCCCTGCGGTGAGCTTGCAGAGGTCTTCTGGAACCCTGGACTCAGTCCTCTCAGGTAAATACCCAGAGCTGGGCCTGCCGTATCATGTGGTAGTTCTATTTAGATTTCATTACTACATGGCAATGGTCATGTCATAAGGAGGCTGTAAAGAGTGGCTTTCCCCACTAGATTTTAAGACTATGGAGGCTTGTTTTAGTCAACTTTTTTTTCACTGCTGTGACTAAAAAACCTGATAAGAACAATTCGAGAGGAGACTCAAGGTTTTGGTGGTCTCAGCCCACATGGCAGAAGAGTGGGATGGAGGGAAGCAGCTCTCATGGTGATCAGGAAGGAGAGAGAGAGAGAGAGAGAGAGAGAGAGAAAGCTCCACTTGCCAAATACAAAATATAGACCCCAAAAGCCCATCCCAATGCCCCACCTCCTCCCGCCACAGCCTATCTGCCTTCAGCCACCCTCCAGTTAATCCCACCAGGGGATCGACTCACTGACTGGGTGAAGGTGCTCATAACTCAATCTTCTCTCCTCTGAACTTTCTTGCATAGTTTCACACATGAGCTTTGGGGGACCCTCCAAACCCTAACAAGGCTGAATACAGCTTGTCATTGTGAAGTGATGATGTCCTTGTTGGTGGTCAATTACTTGCTTGATGTCACTCAGCCCTGTAAGGCACTATTCTTCTTATGTCCATTTCCTGCTCTGAGTGGGAAATCCAGGGGGTCCTCAGGTCACCTGAGCTTGGAGTGTGGGGTGGACCTGCTCCTGGGGTCACACCCCACAGACGGGGCTGGAGATGCTGACTTCTGGGTCAGCATCCCTCTCCCAGGCTCCAGTCTGTTGTCCAGATGAGGTTGTGGTCTGCTGATAAAGACACAGACGTCTGTGTTCTGTTTGCCTCCAGCTGTCCCTCGCACCAGTGACACCCAGTGCAGCTCTGTCCCCGAGCCCAGATATGGGAGAAGAATCGGCTCTGAATTCTCCACAGGCTCCATTGTTCGATTTGAGTGTAACCCAGGGTACCTGCTGCAGGGTTCCACGGCCATCCGCTGCCAGGCTGTGCCCAACGCACTTGCTCAGTGGAACGACACGGGGCCCAGCTGTGTAGGTGAGTGTCCTCCACAGGAGGGGTGACAGGTGTGGGCTGTGCCTACAGTCCCCAGTGCAGAGAGCTGCTGTCCAGGGTCACTGTCTGGTCCACACAGAGTGTCCATCTCCTGACCTGCATGATGAGCAGGTTGTGTTTGAGGAATGCCTGAGCAGGAGCCACCCCTGAAGAGATGGTGTCCTAAGACGCATCAGGGCATAAGGCCCGAGCACACTTCCTCTCTCCATTCTCTTAAGAGTGCCATCGACTCTGACTTCGCGGCCATACCACATAATTTCATTTTGGGGTAAAAGCATGATGAGGTTGATTTGCTGTATTACTTGGGTAATGCTCTTTAATACATTTGTGCTGATGAATGTTTGAAAAGCAAGAGGTTAATGCAGCCTGAATGGCAATGGCATTGTTAGTTAGGTTTCATTTGCTTCATTTTGTGTAGAAAACTCTAGTGTAATCATAATTGGCACTTGAATTCATTTGCATTTTAAGCATCTCTTCTTCTCCTTGGACTTGCTCATAAATCCCGTTAGCATCATCTGGAGCCGCACGACTGTGTGGGAAGAGAGCGCTCTGCAGTGGTCTTTAAATTAAGTAGATGAATTATTCCAAATAGAATTCGCTTCAGAAATGCAGCTGGTAGGTGCAGCACCTTCTTAGAAACCTGAAGAGGTGTTTAGAGGTTCCAGGTCTGTAAGTTGAGTAGCACAACAGGTGATCACCAGCGGCATGGCTGATTTAAAAGGGACCCAACTCTACCTGGGCTACAAATAACATTTATGGGAAGTTCCTGTCACTATCTGACCACACAGAAAAGAAAACCAAAGCCAAATTAATGGCCTCGCTGCATTTTACGTTTATTCTCTGTGGCTCTGTCTCTCAGTTCCCTGCAGTGGCAATTTCACTCAACGGAGAGGGACGATTCTGTCCCCCGGCTACCCTGAGCCCTATGGCAACAACCTGAACTGTGTGTGGAAGATCACTGTGACAGAGGGGTCCGGAATCCAGGTGTGTGCCCCAGCCCAGAGCCACCGTGGACTCAGCCAGCAACCCTGGCCTTTTCTTCTTTTGCTCCTGTTTCCACCCCCTTCCTCACCTCCCTCCCTCCCTCCTTCTCTCCCTCCCTCCCTCTTTCCCTCCCTTTCTCCCTCCTTCCCTCCCTCCCTCCCTCCCTCCTTCCTTCGATCACTCTCTCTCTCCCTCCCTCCTTCCCTCCCTCCTTCCCTCCCTCCTTCCCTCCCTCCTTCCTTCCTTTACATTGGTCATCTTGAATAGCATACAGCAGGATCTATTTCTCTTTTCTTAATATTTCTACACAATATTTTTATTTTTGGAGTTTTAGAATAAAAATTGTCAAAAGTGTCATTCGTAGAGATATTTTTAATGTCCTTTCATGAATTGTTTTCTTTATTTTGATACATGTTTATCTTAATCTTGAAAAACTACTATCTGATTAGATTAATACTCAACCAAAACGGATATTAACTTGACATTGTGGTTTGCAGATTCAAGTGATCAGCTTTGCCACAGAGCAGAACTGGGACTCCCTTGAGATCCATGACGGTGGGGACATGACTGCACCGCGGCTGGGGAGCTTCTCAGGTAGGAGGGCAGTTCCTGTCTTGGCTGGTGGGTCAGAATTTGAAGCCAAAGCACACAGCAGCGCACACTCTGTGGGAGTTTCCTGCTGGGCTCCTGCGTCTCCGTGTGCTTCTCGAGCCAGTGGAGTGTGGGAGAGAGACCTTGTGGCTCAGCGAGGCGTGTCTGAACCGACTGGTGGCTCAGCCTCTCAGAGGTGGCCTTCTGAGGCTGCCCATGGACAGCAGAAGCCAGTGAGCCTGTGAGTGGGCAGGGAGAATTGGCACCAGTTCTGAACTGTCACCTAAGGTCCTCAGCCTGGGGAGTGACTCTGCACCTGGGCCTCACTGAGCCTTGTGTTTCTCGTCTCTGTACCCCAGGTGCCTCAGCTCAAGGGGCCAGACCTGGGTACGGCCCTCTTGCTTTCCCCGGCACCTCCTGTGCACAGGTGCCTCATGCTGCTGGGTGCACCTTCCATGGTGACCCAGGTGGGCTTCCTGCCCATGGTCCCTGAGAGGCCTCAGACCTGGGTCAGCTTTGCTCTGACCTGGCAGCTCATTCTGCCTCCATGCCCCTGAGCTCCTCCCTATGTGGCCTTCCCCATCAGAGCAAAGGTGGCCAAGGCCGGCGTCTTCCAGGTCATAGCCCTCATCACGATGGCCAGCCCCTACAGAGCGCTGGCGTGCTGGCCCCTGCTCACACGCCTCCAGACTGACCTTGGAGATAGCACACAGAGCAAAGTTCTGTTGCTTTCCTCCTTTTACAAATGAGGGACAAAGATTTAAACCTAGAATTGTCCAAGATGACAAGTCATAATTCCCTGAGCCACACCCGTCTGCTCCTGTGAAGGACCATGAGGTGTGTCACCTGTAGCCACCACTTCCCTGCCCCACCCTGAGAGGGAGGGCTGTTTGTGGAGTTCATTCCTCCATGCTCTTCGCCTGCTGGAAGGTGGGGCCTGGAGAGGCCTGGCCCTTCACAGTGTCCACTTGAGTTTAGTCCTGTCACTTTAAGTAATTCGGGGACCCTGTCTCTGGCTGTCTGCAAATGAGAGCACGTAGGTGTTAGGCAGTGAAGTGCCTCACAGCATTGCTGTTGTCCCCTGTGTGGTGGCTGTCCTTTCGCCCTCTGCACCCTGTGGAGCTATCTCTGCAAATGGCCCCATTGGGATTCAAGGAGATAAGGTCTCTGGCGTTAACTGTAGCAACATAACTTAAAATCTATAAGTAGGAGCCAAAATTTGATCTAATTCTTCCAGAGTCTGGGCGTAAGCAGCACTACAGTAGACTTCCAGCTTTGTAGGAGGGCAAAAGGAACATTGTTTCAAGATTTAGGGGAAAAAAGGGTATTAACAGATTAGTGATATGGCTTTGCAAATGGGTGGGACATAATGGGTGGGACACTCCCCGAAACTAGAAGGTGGCTTTGAGCTTGTGGTTCCACTACCCTCAAACTTGCCTTTGTTCTTCTCACTTTTCTATGTTGTTCACTCGTTTTCTAGACATTTAAGCTTCTTGAGAAAATGTGTCCATCTGTCTTCATCACACACACTTCCTAGCTCCTATCATACTCAGTTGGTAAAACATGTTTACAGGGTATGTGTTCTGCCACTTTTTTATCTGCAGATTACATCTCACCGTTCACGCCTATTCCTGTGTATTAACCAACATGTAGTGGCCTCCTACGAAGCCTTCTCTTGAATAGCTCCTGGACTCAACTTTGGAAATGAGATGCTCTGTTTCCTCATTTGTACTTGGAGTCAGCCAAGTTTTCAAATGAAAGCGTTTACTATGGAACTCAGTTTTCACCTGATATTCTCAGGCAGGAACGTGACACTGAACACACCCTAGATGCACATGAGCCAGCCGAGAGCCAGAGAAGGCAATAATGAGGCCGCTGCATGACTGAGCAAAGTTAGCAGGAAAGTGACTCAGAGCAATGGAGACTGAAAGCGTTTCCTAGCACATATGCCAAGGAGTCGCACACCGAAAAGCAACGCCTCTTTTCACTCCTGTTTTTGAAGTTAGCAAAGAGAAATTTTCTTTAAAAGTTTTAGACGTGAATACCACTGTAATTCAGTCCTGATGCCCTCTCCTGGAGTTAGGGTTAGCTTTCAGGGACTGCTCAGGTGGAAGGCACTGTTCTCCACCAACCACACAGAGACCAGCGGCGAGCTCCAGAGCCCCCAGGCCGTCGGCGCTGGCCTCCGCTCAGGGGCATCCACCTGACACCTCTCTGAAGAAACCTTGTGCTGCTCCTTAGGATTGCCGTTCTACTAAAAGGGCACAAATCAGGATCAGCCAAGTAGACCCAGAGGGTGACAGCAGGAGGGGCCCAAGCTCAAAGCTTCCGAGTCCTCCGAATGCGTCACCTTCCAGCCACACTATTGTGGGTCACCAACCAAGTTCCCTGAGCTGTGGGGCGAGGGTTTCACTGAGCTGTGGGGCGAGGGTTTCCCTTGGTCTGGTGGATGAAGCTCTGCCTCAAGGTTGAATAGGTCTGCAGCCCTCTGCCCTCCCAGAGATCTGGAGGCCGAGCTCCTTATCCAACAGCTGACCCTTCCTGTGGCAGCCCCAGGGAGGGTCGTGGTGACGTGATCGTAACTGCGCTTCCCACCACACGTGACAGGGGCACACCTCCCACTGCAGGTGTCAGGGTTGAGCTCATCTGCTGGACCTCTGGGACGAAGTCCAGACAAACTCTTCACTACACAGTGACCACTACCAGCAACTACGGCTGGACTGATGCCGCTGCCCCAAGTTTGAAATAGTTCTAGATGTGAATCACGGAAGGAGACCTTCACTGAAATATTGAGAAAATACAGGGGAAGTGGAGTCTTGTAGCCTTGTTTTCTTGGTACTAGATTTGACCCCAGATTTTCTGAGGCATGCTGGCCGATGGCTCTGTGATGGGGTGGCCAAGCCGGAGACAGCTCTGGGCTGGTCCTTGATGTGCAACTTAGGTGCTTTTCCAAAGTGGAGATACAGGTTCTTTACAGTACAAGATGCGAGGTTTGAATCTCGAAATTCTTCCGCCAAATAATTATAGAACTTGTTTGTTGCTTTCAACTTAATTAGTAGAAAAGACAAAGATGTAAACATTTCAGAAAACAAATTCTGGCTTAAACAGAAACATAAGTGAACCAAAAAGAATTCATTAAATAGTCTGTGAAGATGTAAATCTAACTAAAAGAAGGTAACTGGGCCCTAACAACATGCAATAATTTTGCTTTATATAATAACTTTTCATCCAGTTAAGACAGGATGGCGGATGAAATATCTTCATGTTCACTTAAGTGAATGAGGTTATATTTCACATTCCTTTCCTCAGAGCAGGTGAGTGGGTGCGCTACGTAGTATCTGACATTTTCTGAAGTTAAAGAGACCTAACGCATTTCATAGTTTCCCATTCACGAGTTGATATAATGTTGGGAGCCCCTGGGGCTGTCTGATGTTTTCTGAGGCACCCCAGCTCCCACACAGTGCTGCTCCGCTGGTGGAGCCGTTCTCCGCCCTCCGTGCTCAGCTGGGCAGGGCAGTGGGCTGGTGCTGTGGCCTAGTGCTCTGGGGGAAGCTCAGGGGCAGAGGCAGGGCCAGTGTTTGCTCGACTGGAAAAAAACAATCAAGAAAACCCTCAAACACGTGCTCTAGGTGGAGCATTAGTGTATTATATTAAGAAGTGGCCGTGAAGCGACTCCAGTTCCTCCTCCCACTCCCACGGGGCCCTCGTTCTCCTTTACTCACTCTTCCCCAAAGGATGGGAGACTGCTTGCTGGGGGTCTCAGGTTCTCAGGGGTGGGCCGCAGCGGGCGTAGGCACCGACTGGCAGGCCTTCAAACCATCTCGGCCAACTTCTCTTCTGCCTCTGGCTCTGCAAATAGATAGACCTGGTTTGGCAAAGACCTGATGTCCACAGGGCCTTCTACTTCACCCCTGCACTTCCTGGGTGAATCCTTGTGACGCCTACGTCATGGCTCTCTCCCAGCCTCCGGCCTGCCTTCTGTATGCAGAGCCCAGGGGGTAAGTCCCGAGGCCAGTGGGTGAGGAAATGACGGGCAGACAGTGCCACAGGCCCAGGACACAGATCCACACAGCTGCTCAGGAGGCGGCCTCTTGCTTCTGAGGGCTGTATGGTATTTGTCCGAATTTTAAAAAGAGAACTTAGTTTCACTTCTGCTCTGGGTCCTCCCTTGATTTGCTCTTGGTCAGACACATCAGGCTGTGAGGAATGGGTTGTCTGCACACTGCACAGGTATTGGTCATTTTGGTCAATTTTGTCAAGGGCAGAATGAATTTTAAGATTTCATATTGCCAACTTTCCTTTTCCAGTATTCTTTTGGGAATGTTTGGCACAATTGGGGACCAAGCGAGGAGGCTGGTCTCCAGGGTTGGGGACTGACATTCCCGTGAGATGGGAAGATCAGCAACTGAACACGTAGAACGCACCCGCGAAAACACAGCCAGGCCTCTCGGTGCATTAGAATACGCAGCCCGGGGAGGCTGAGGGCGACCTGCCGCGTCTAGTGACACCGTTTCCTGCCTCTGTCTGCTGAGGCATGAAGGGGGACGCCCCTCAGCAGCGCCCCTCCTGGTCCCACCTGCGCTTCTCAGCACGGCTCTGACCGTGCCCTTAGGAGAACCAGAATCCCTAGAGACCTGTACTCTCCAAGGTTGCGGTAGGAGGAGAATTACAAAGAGCCATTTGCCTGAACTAAAAATTCAGGACCCCTGGCTGAGGTAAGTAGGGAGGCAGGAGGCAGGAGGCCCCTGCTGAGGTCCAGCCGTAGACGCGGTGTCAGGGTCGAAGGCCATCGTTTGGCAATGCTAATCAAGATGATGAGAGCATCAGGCGGGAGCATCCTGGGTGCTGAGGATGGTGGGTGACGTGGGTGAGAATCACGACCTCCACAGTCTCAAGACCTGCCCCCCAAGCCCATGCTCACCGCAAAGGGGAAGAGCGGTGCCTTCCTGAGGAAAGAGTGCCAAGGTCCTGGATGAGGGGATGTGGCCTGGGTGTCACTGACAGCCCAGCTCCCCACAGACCAAGAGAAAACCTCGGCTACCTGCCATGTTGTGGTTACTGTGGCGGGAGCTCCCACTACGGCCAGCACAGGGCACTGCAGGGCCAGGGGTCCAGGTCAGAAGACACCAGGGCCCTCTGGACAGAAGGGCATCGGTGCACCAGCAATCACAGCATCCTTGGCTGGCCGGTAGTTGGGACTTAGTGAGGGCAGAGCTTAGATGGCAGTGTGGCGTCGTGCTGGTCTGGACTCTGAGAACAGCTGGACAAGACACGAGTCTCTGTGTGCATGACTTGTTCACCAGTGGCTGAGGATAAAACCGTCCTAAGACAGGCATGTACCTATGTGTGTATTACAGATATTATAGAGAATAGTGTAGGCACCATTATCTAACAGACCAAGTGGATATACCAGAATTTTCTGTATTGCACTAGCAAGATTTCTTTACTCTAGAAATTATTTCAAACCTCTTAGAATGAGATTTTTTTTTGAAATTTTATGGAAAAAATGACAATCATTCAAAAAGTTTGTGTTAGAATGAATCAATATTTAAACAGGTTTGTTTCTGCAATGCTTTAAAAAGGCAGAGATAAAGGAGATATTAAACTCATCTTAGATGTTGAATAAAACAAATAAGAATGAGCAGGCATAAGAGGTTCACACTCCAGGAAAAGCGACTGACATCTCTAAAAAATTCCATGTTTTGATTTTCCATTTCTGCTTGGACAGGCATATGCATGTAGGACTTTTTGTAAGCCATTTAAAATCATTTTGGAAGTAGGCAGGTTATAAATTATAAATGAATAAAATAGAGCAAATGCATACAAATCTGTACTGACAATCAATATTAAAGGAAAGTAAACATCCGGGTGCTGGGAGTGGAATCTGCAGGGACCATAATAATAAAATTTCTCAGTTTTCCTCATTACGTGTTGTTCTATCTAGGTCACAGTAAAACAATGTGATCAAAACGATCCTGCCTGTGGCAACACTTTTAAAACCCTGCTCAGTTGCATTTAGCACCTGGGAATGAGCTCCTAGCAAGAGTCACTCTGGAGCCCACAGGAGGCACACGCAGTCCAGCTTCAATGGTGTCAGGAGTAGCATCCTCCTGGCCTCCAGAGAAATGGGTCCTGCTCACCTTGTGTCCCATCTGGGCCTCAGGACCCGCCTTGCTGGTAGAGCAGAGAGTGTGTATTTCACCCCAGATGCGCAGGAGGACTGTTGGGGGATCATTACTGTCATTATCCGGGAGGACATGATAATTCACAGAGCACCTTTGTCTCTGCTACTCATTTATCACACTCATGTAATAAAGACGGGTTGTTATTTTCACTGTATTAGGATGCATTGATTAGGACATATTAACATTTTGTAGTTGACTTAAGGTGATAGAGATGATTCATGTCAGAACTAGGTCAGAAACAGGTTTTCTGATTTTACTGAATTGCAACTGTGGGAAACTGACAAAGGGAAACTTCCAACAGTGTGTTCTGAATCCCTGCGTGCCATCGCTGTGCCGGGGATTGGAGCTACTAAATACACTTTGAATCCTGGAAGCTAGAGTCTTATCTTCTGAAGGGGGACAGTGGGGAAAATGGAACCCCACGTGAACCGCTGGGTGAGAGGGCTTCCTAGGTGGGAATCCGGGTAAAGGTACCTGAGCACGCACAGTGGCTTCTCGCTGGTCCCCGGGAGGAGCCCAAGGTGGGAGGTGGAGGATGATTCTACTTCTCTAAAGGCTTCACGGTGGACATGAGCAGCGGTGTGGAGACTGTCACCAAGACCCCAGACTGTGGGCAGGGCCAGCAAGACATGTATCACCCAAAACCCGAAAGTAAGGCAGAGCAGGAGGACACAGCCCACGGGAGTGGAGCCAAGCAGGCGGAAGGAGGGATCCGAGGCGCCTCCTTCTTTCTCTTAGAAAGCGGGTTGAGTGGCATGTAGAGGAGCCCTCACATCCTCCATGTCCTGCCCTCCAGCCCTTCGGGGCTCTCAGCGTCCTTCACAGCCACCTGCCCTGGCGGAGGGGCTGGGGCAGGAGAGGCTGTGCCGCGGACAGAGGAGGCCCAGGTCACCTCTTGGCAACTTCTCCCTGCGCGGGCACTCCGGAGTGTGCTCTGTGGTTCAAACATCCAGTTCCTTATTACCATTTAGGCCCAGCACAGTTGTTCCATTGTAAAATCTGTCTATCCATCATCTACCTACGACCTCCCTGTCTTTTTCCTACCTGTACTCTACTCCTATCTACCACTGTCTCCATCTGTATCATCCATCTATCTACCTACCTACCATTTTATCCTATATCTTATCTATGATCCATCTCCATGTATCACTAGTTCCCCTCTCTCTCTCTCTCTCTCTGTCATCTGTCACCTATTATGTATCTTAGTTGAGGACAATAAAGAGGTTGAATCAGTGAGCACCCTCTGTTTCTCATTCAGCAAGTCCCTACAGTGGTCCAGGCCTGAAAAGGCCCATCATCTGGAGCCAACTCTTCTTGAGGCACAGAGCCCACGTCACAAGCAGGAGCACTAACTCCCCTGAGTGTGCGTTCACACGCTCCTGCAGGCTTTCTATCTGGAGAGCACTTAGTCAGCAAGTGGCTTAGCTGGGAAAGGGCTGGGGATGCCTGGGTGGGGAGATGAAGAAAGGCCCAGTGGCCCAGGACAGAGGGAAGGAGCACACACCAGGCTCATGACTATGAGCGACCTTGAAGTAGGAAGAGTGAATTATGAAAAAGGAGGTACTGAGAAGAAGCTAGAAATGCAGGCATGGTCAGATCATGCATGGTCGTTGGGCCAAATCAAGGAGTCTGAGGTTTGGTCCTAATGTGGTCGGGAACCTGAGCATTTCAGCATGACTCTGCCATACACGTAGCTTTTAAAAAGCTTCCCGGTTGCTAAATAGAGGATGCATTGTACACAGGAGCGGAGCAGAGCCTGAGTTAGGGATGAGCATGGTGATGTGGCTAAGCCCACCGCTGGCCTGCACTGGGTGATGGAGGGGAAAATGGCCAGAGGAGAGGAGTCTCTTTGGGACAGGATTTAGGAAGCCAGCCAGTGAGGGCCGGACAGAGGGCAGGGGGGTCATGGAGAGGGAGGGAGCTTCAGGTGTGGTGGCTGCTGAAAGTGACAGGCACAGCAGGGGCTGAGGACGGCCACATGACAGACTGACAGGGAGAGACAGCTGGCCTTCCTGAGTGGCCGGTTCAATTAAAGCTATTGGAGGGTCTGGTGACATTCCTTAGAGAGCAAGCAGAGCGCCGTGTGTTTGCAATACCGCACACCCATTTTGAATAGTCACCAGCTGGCTTACTACTTACTACTCTTCCTTTACACACTAGCGCTATCTTTGGCGTAGTTCACACTAAGAACTTGCCTGCTCCGGGGTGAGTTTCACCACAGGGTGTTTCCTTGATGTCCAGCTTGCTTATGTCCTTGTTTACAGAATGGTTTCGGTGCAGGAGACGCTCAAGCATACATTTTCTGGAGAAGTCATTAAGCCTGCTTATCCTTCCCCAAGCGCGATGCACCCCATCAACCACAGGCACGGTCTTAACCTGCCTTCCCGTATCAGGGCATCCTCTGCCCCTTGGCCTCGGCATCTGTACTCCTCCCAGCACTCTGCAATGCAGGCGGGGCCCTTCAAGCAAAGGAAGCATTTTCCTTTCACACCTGTGTATTTGAAATCATTTGCAGATCTCGGTGGGAAGAGGGTTCAGTGTGAGCCACACGGGGCCAGAGCACGGGGTCCGCAGCAAACACTCAGACCAAACAGGAGTGAACGAGACCAGCTCTGGGAACATTTAGGTCCAAATGAAGAGGCCTGTGTCCTGTGCCGGGTGCTGGAGCTCTGCCCCTCTCTCCCACAGGTACCACGGTGCCTGCGCTGCTCAACAGCACTTCCAACCAGCTCTACCTGCGCTTCCAGTCCGATATCAGCGTGGCCGCCGCCGGCTTTCACCTGGAGTACAAAAGTAAGGCCATGCCTCTGTGTCTTTCATTGCTGCATTCATCACTTTCTAAAAGGAACCTCTGCTCATCAAGTAGTGACATTTTGTTGTTGAAAAACTATGAAAATTTATGAAAATGAGTCTTACAAAACCAAGGTTGTGTGAAACCTTCCCAATGGGAGGTAAATTCATAGAGAAATGTGGAAGTTAGTTTCTGGAATAATTATAACAAACAACTACTATAATCTCATGTTGTTTGTATTTAAAAATGCAAAAACTGTAATATTACTAGTTTCCTATGAGTGATAACAAATATTCATATCAGCATCCAAAGACAGAGAATTTTAATTTCCAACTAGATTATGCCATAAGCCTCTTTCATTTATAGTCTCAAAGGCTGTTAAAATAAGAACAGAGAGCAGTTGCTTAGGGGCCTACTCTGCGTGCTATTCATTTTAATTAGAAGAAAGTATGGCAGAAGCAACACTAACCTTTCAGAAAAGGATGTGAGGGATTTAATAGTCTGGTGAACAGGATGGCAAAGGTCAAATGCTCACTGCTTCTTTGGCATCTGATCTTGCAGGTGAACCCTGCAAAAGTGAAGTGAGAATTTGCAATGAGAGGTTTATTTTAGGATATGTTTTCAAGCATTAAAAATGCTGGGTGTTGGCGTTCATCTCCTTTAATAAGCAGTTGCAAATAAGCAAATACACAGATGAGCTTTAATAAGTGATTTTTGAATTGAGACAAACGTTTTTCAGGATGTAGTGCAGGCATGCTTGGAAAGGCTGTTTCCAGCTGGTGATAAATATTCTGAACCAGACACAAACCACAGGCCTGTTTCACATTCTGGTTAAATTTCCCTACTTATTACAGGCATTTGCATGCAAGTTCATTCTAATTTATATGAGTAGGAATGCTTTAGTGGCAGTATAAAAGGATACTGGGGATGTTATTTATGTAGAATAAGATTGGAAAAATCTGCTGTCTGATACATTTTGCCAATGTCTACAGATAGGAAAACGTAAACCTTATTTATGATAGTGTTGATAGATTAATTAATATATTAGGAATTTTATAATTGGTAAATGATTTTCTCCATCCCAAGTTGTATTATGGTTTCTGGCTTTTCATTCATTCTTCATGAGGTGACATGCTAGTAAAATAATTAGTCTATAATTATTCTACACTATTATCTAGTACTCATGTGAGATTCCGCTCCCCCAGTGTAATTATCTACATTTTACTTTATTCCTAGTCAGTATAGTTCACTGAGGAACTAGCCTATTTCTCACTGAAATGTGCCACCTTCAAGAATCCAAAGCCTTGCTTGAGAATCCAGAATCTTGTTTAATTACTTAAAGCATTTTTAATTTGGCCAAACAAAATGACACATTAGTTGTGATTTTCTTTTTCAAGCAGTTATATTTCGAGGCTAACTAACACCATGCTGAGAGTTCATGTCACTGGGTATTAAGAAAAGTCTGTTCTCTGCTCTAACCCTTCAAGGCAGTTTGAAATATGGATGTTATGATGTGTTTGTAGAATCAATCTTACTAACATCTGCATCAAACGACATAAGACTGTTGACACTATGTCACCAAAAGAGTATCTGTTGTTTTAAATTCATCAGTATATTTGACCATCTACCTTCTACAGATCTCTAAACTCATGTTTTTCACTAATATATATATATATATATATATATATATATTAATATATATAAATACAAGATATGATATAACCATCAGTGTCTGCTTGATGCCTGGGCTTGCCTGGAGCCTCCCCCAGCTCTGCCCATAGTCCTTCCACACCTCTCTGCACTTCTGGGTGGATTAAGGGAACCCAGAGCATCCTTCACCTGCCCGACTCATCACCCTGCCAAGGTCTGAGCACAGGCGTGGGCACAGCAAGCGTCTGCCAGGAACACTGTTTACTGAGCCCCTCAGTGGAGTCCCAGCCTCCCTGCAGGGGGAGGCCACAGATGTCACGTCAGCAGAAGATGGAAACGTGTGAAGGTCTATGATGCTCGGAGTCCACGGTGGAGGTCCAGTGGTCCAGCTCTGGAGGTGTGAGTGATGGCCGCTGCACACTGGCTGCCATCAGAGCAGCAGTGTGTTCTCACCTGGAGACGAGCCCAGCCTGAGCACAGCAGGCCAGGGTTCACACGTGATGCTGGGGAATTGCCCAGACAAAAGCAGCTTCCCTTGAAGGGAAGGGCTAGAACACACAGAGCAGGAAGGTTCCAAGGAAGGTGTGCAGATTCTCTGGGAGCTCCCATGGTGCAGGTGGGAGCTGGAGCCCTGGGATCCCTGAATGCCTACCATGTCCTTCAGTTACCAGTTATCTGTCCTTTCGCACTGAGCAGCTTCACGGGACATCTGAGAAGGAACACAAGGACCACACTCAGTCTGGTCTTGTTTTTGAAGAGAATCAACCAAACCAAAGGATAGCAAATACCTAGAGATTCTAGTGTGCAGATATGTGGACAAAGTGACATTGGTTTACTCTGGAAATTCCAAACCCTGACCTAATGTGCCCAGCAGGGAACTTGCTGCTAGGGAGCAAGACGGGGATGACATTGTGGGGTCGTCGTGATTCCAGTGGGGTCTGGGGGAGCACAGGTTCAATACGTGACCTGACACTGGAGGCCTTGGTGTGCCCACCGATTTTTGTCTGTCTTCCCTTGTTCTCTGCCGGCTCTAGGGTTAACAAACACACCTCCACTGTGGGCCTGTTAGAGCAGATCCTTAGGACATCCAGGGGTTCCTGGAGTTTAAAGCCACAGTCTCTGATGGCCCTTCTCACACATGGTGAAAACCATAGGAAGGAACCCTCTGACCCTCTCCTTCTGCCCTCTCCCTGTGCCCTCTGCTTCTGCCCTCCCCTTAACTCTCTCCTTCTGCTCTGTCTCCTCCTTCCATTATGCTAATGGTGGCCTACATTTTATTTTTACTTATGTTATATAATGTCCACAAAACATATTTTGCTTTATATTCTCAATGATCTTTCAGAAAGTTTAGAAATGAAAAAAAAAACCCAACTTTTATATTTACCTTCAATTTTGCCATCTTTGAAGCTCCTCATTGCTTGTGTATGTTGTGGCCTCAACGTGTCCCCCCCACCCTGTGCTCATGGTTTGGAAACTTGGTCCCCAGTGCAGCTGTGTGGGGAAGGGTGCCTAAGGGCAGGTGATTGGGGTCATGTCTTCATGAATGGATTGACACCCTCATCATGGGAATGGGGCTTTTCCAGGGGGTGGGATTGCTCGCTTGCTCTCTCCCTGTCTTTGTCTCTCCATTGCGGATGGCACTGCTGCAAAGCCCCCATCGGATGCGGCTCTCTCAGCCCGCGACTTCCAGACCCCATAGCTGGGAGCGAATAACTCTCTTCTCATTGTAATTTATGCAGAACAGACACAGACAGGGTCCATCCGAGTTTCTGTGTGAGGGTTTTCTGTCTCAAGAATGTTCTTTAGCATTTCTTTTAGTGCAGGTCTGCTGGCAGCGAATCTTCCTTATTTGAAAAAGCCACGATTCCACCTGCATTTCTGGGAGAGATTTTGCTGGGAATGAACGTCTTGGCTGAATGTGCCTTTGTTCTCAGAGTGCTTGGCTGTTTCTTCTTGGTCCTCTCACCACAGAGTGGATGATGAGAAGTCGGCTCTAGTCCCTGCGCGCATGCCCTGACCCTCTTCTCTGGTTCCTTCAAGGTTTCTTTTGGTGTATCTGTCATTTTTCCAGGTTGACTATGGTGTGTCTAGGTGGGTGTGTGTGTGCGTGTGCGTGCGTGTGTGTGTGTGTGTGTGATATTCTTCCTGCTTTGGGTTCTCTGGTGTTCTTGCATCTATGATTTGATGTCTTTTATTTATAAAAAAAATTCTTGGCCACTATTTTCCAAAATGTTTCTTTTTCCAGTTCTCTTCCTCTACCTCTTCTGGGACAGTGACGGCACAGATGCTGCCGCACAGTTCCCAGGGGTTCCGGTGGTTTATTTGCTGTTCTGTTTTTCTTACGTAGTTGCCACTGACCTGTCTTCATCAGCACTTGGTCTTCCCTCAGCTGCATCAGTTCTGCTAACCAGTCCCTTAAAAGTGACCTTCGTCTCTCATTGGAGGATTTCCCCCACAGGATTTCCATTTGATTTCCTTGTTTTTACCATCTCTCTACCAAAATTGCCCCTTTCCCTTCAGGTACATCAGCATCTTTTCCACTGGAATCGTTCCTATAATTTTCATGGTTATATTAACATCCATGTCTGATCTTCCCTCTCGTGAGCACGCTCTGAATTTGGTTCTATCCCTTGCTTTATCTCTCTGCATAGGATTGTCATTTCTTTCTTTTTTTTTCTTTTCTTTTTCTTTCTGTTTTTTTTTTTGTTTGTTTTTGCACATCTCCGTCTTTCTTTGAAGCTGGACGCCATTAGAACCATGGAGACCCCCAAGGATTGTGTGCAGCCTGAGCTGAGTGAGCCTCTTCTGTGCTCTGAGGCATGGAGCCAGGCGGGAGTTGAGCTGGGCCAGGGTCTTGCAGCTGCTGTGGTCACGTGGGGCACGGCCTCTTCTGACCCTCTGGCAGTGAGATCGCACAGGTTGGGGGCTAAGTGCCCGAGGTTGGGGGCTAAGTGCCTGACCTTCAGCCTCCAGTCCCTGATACCTTTTCTGCAGAGCCAGTCTCTCTCCCAAGCCTGCCCCTCCCCCAGAATTGCTGCTGCCACTTCCTACCTGCTATGCGCGCTGGGCTCAGGGAGTCCTTTGAGTTGGGCTTTTCCTGACTGTGTTGTCCTGTAGAATCTGCAGATCAAGACGGGGTTCTCTCAGCCTTCCCGTCCACCCCCCCCTCCCCCGCCAAGGCTGCCAAAGTCCACCTGAGGCTGGCCTGGGTGGAAGTTCCCTGCCAGTCCCAAGTGCTAGGAGACCTCGATTTTGGAGCAGTCACAGGGTCTTGAGCTCCTGCCAGCTTTCCTGCCACGTCCCTGGGTGTGGAGATGCTTTGCTCTCCCTGCTCAGAGCTGCCTGCAGGCCC